TAGAGCAAGTGGTGTCCTTGAGATAAGGGCATCACCACCGCCACGGCGGTTGGGGTGAGGGATGTGGTGGGAGGTATAGCCTGGGTGGTGTGGCCTCCTTGAGAGGGAAGGTGTCACCTGGGGTGAGCCACGTTTCCGTTAAGGTCATGATATCAACGTTCTCATCAAGGATGAGGATACAAGAGTGAGGATCTTGAAATCGATGCAAGTGCTCAGACTCAGCATGAAATATCTTGGTAAAAATCCAGACAGGCTGCCCCCAGAATCTTGCAGCTGGTATATGTCTGTTGCTTGATATAGTATCATTGAAACAATATGCATTGCTATCCCTCTATAAGAACACCAACCATCAAGTAACTGGGCATCGTTCAGTCATTACCTGGGCCAATAGAAAATTGCCGAAATATTTGCCAAAAACTGGGGGAAATTTTGCCGGGCGTTGGGATCTTTGCCAGATTTCGCAGAAAATTGCTGGGGGCTGGTTGGTGCTATTGGGGTACATTTTACTGCCAACCTACATTTTCTTCAGTTTATTGAAAAAAACTAAACATGAGGATTTAATAATAATAATCCTTGCATTTGATATAGCGTCTTACCATGTCTTCGAACCATCTCAAAGCACTTCACAGGATGTACTGTAAAGTGTAGTGACTGTATGTTTTGTGGGCAAAACGCTGCAGCCAATTACTAATTAACAGCCAAATAACAGATTAGATTGTTGCAAAACATTTTTATGAATTTCTTCTTTAACAAAAACTGGGTGCCCCATTTGTGTGCGTGTGTGTGTGTGTTAGGGATGGGGGGGAGACACCAGCGCAGGCCCAAAGGACCTGGAGATCTGCCAAAAAAGACACTCGGGACCAGTGTCCTGACTGTGGCACTACAGGAGTTCACCACCTCCTGCTTCTCAGAGCCCAGCACAACACACAGACATGGAGACAGAGACGCAGAGAGAAACGCACATGCGGACACACACCCAGACACAGGCAGAGAAACACACACTCACAGAGACTCTAAAACATACAGAGGAGTGAAAAACTCCATCGTTTAGCGGATTTATTGGGACGTGCTCCCAACGTGAAAGCCACTATACAAATGTAATCTTGTTGTTTATGATGGAGGACGCTGTTTATAATGGATTCCGAGGAAAAATTGCGACCGCACTTCTCCATTGGCTCAGGGACTCTGTTAATCTGGCGATCAGCTGTTGACAAATTGACTCACAAAGAGCTGTAGCACCATCTGTTCTCAGTTACGTGTAATGACACTGAACAGCAAGCACAGTACTGTTCAAGGAACAAAGATTGGGAAGCAGATCACTGTGGATTAGCACTGGGCTACTGCAGGGCCATTTCAGACACACCAACTGAAGACAGGTTTAGTTAAAGTTTAACCGGGCAGATGATTAGTTCAATAGGAAGGCAGACACGATGATAAGAGTAATGTTCAATTTGCTGTAAGTGCAATATATGCACAACCGAGACCCAGAAAACAACAAACAATCCATCCTACTTGGTTCATTTTGATCAGCAGCACAAAAAGGGCATAAACTGGTTTAACAGTTCTGAAGAAAAACTGTTGCTAGTTAAAAAAAACAAAGTGATAATTCTTTAAGGATTACCTAATCCACCTAATTTCTACAGAGGCCAGGCATCGTGAAAAATGAACACGTCTTCTGTGGATCCTAAAGTTTTTTTTATATAGATACGCCTGTCTTTATGTCAAGATAAAGAAAGGTCAGTGAGTGCATGAAACTTTATACTGAAGCCTTATTCTTGAATCATCATGGGTTAGAAGAGGACAAAATAGTAGTGTCTGGCATGGGATTTGTTTACCTTTTTTTATATATTTTGCGTAGAAATTTTAAACCTAATTTGGCTACCCGTTTGTTTACTCCAACTGTTGGATCTTGAAGGAACGTTTCTGTGACAAAGGCGGATCTGTAAGACATCCTGCTAAAGGTTGCCTAACATCTCAAAGTTAGATTCCTCAGTGCAGAATGGAAACCTCAACATATTTCACACACCCACAGCAGCCAAGAGACGGATATCTAAAGAACAGGCTTTCAGTTCTCCTGTTTTGAAGTCAATGTAACACATCATGTCTGGACGAGTCTTAAGACTTAAGACTAATCAAAGGTTTGCTTTAACCCACTGAAGATTAGCCCACGACTAGAATATAATAAAACGATTGCATTGTGCAGATCATTATCTGATCAGTAATGTTTCCCTTAGCTCTTCACTCTCAATTTATTCTCTCTCTATCAAGGGGACGATAAGCCCTAGTCCTGATGGTAGAGTACATTTTAAAGTTTTTTATTTACAATAATTCTCCTGGTAACTGGTAATTGCAAACTGAGCATCTGAAATTCTAAATAGAAGATGCTTTCTTTTTTAAATTAGTTGTTGAAAACTAAATGGAGACTGACTGCCTCATTCACAAACATTGCTGCCATAAAACAGGATACAGCTTACACAGATCATTTATTGCTTTTGTCTACATAACTGTTAAGTTTCAAAGCACTTTGACCCTACAATATGCTTATACAAATGCAAGGCATTATTTTTTTTTCCATCTTCCACTCTGGAAAAAGTCCCAATATATGTGTGGATTCCATAATCTGGCTTTTATGCAGTAGGTTTGGCTACAAAGCCTTGAATAGCTGAGCCAAAACTCACTGTTAAAGCTAAATGTGAATAATAATCATTTAAGTGAGCTAATGGAGGATGAGTAGCACCTAGATTAGTACCCCTGAGAAATGGCCTTCAGAAGAGTAGAAGATTGGCTAAAAATAAACTCTTATATCAGACGTGTCTCATGGTAATGACCCAAAACATACAATCTCGGATGATACAGAAGCCACAAGGGCGAAACTGAGGAGGCAGCGGGTGGAAAGAATCTGGCTTGGCCATCACAAGGCGATGGAGCAACATAAAATAGGCACCTGTAAGCAGTTCTACAAATCTCATTTTATCTGCAGATTGAAGATTCTGTTGTTCCTCTTTGTATTAATGTGTTTATGTCCTCAACAAGTCCATGCTTCAGAGAGCTTCTAAAAGGAGACAATTTTACAGGAGCACCCACCAACTTAGAAACTCTCTACAATAAAGGACAATGATTTCTGGCAGATATGGGCTGCACATAAAGTTTTAGGAATTTTGGAATATATTTATATTTAACAAATATTTGCTTTAAGACTGTAAAATGTTAGCCCACACTATATTTAAAATACAATAATGTTGATGTTCAGAAAGTTCACTTCATATTAATGGACACTATATTATTGCAAGTTTACAATCACACCCAATAGCGATTTTGAAAGAGTGCCATATATTGGCAGAAACATTAACTAAACAAATCCACAGCAATCAGCATTTGTCGGAAATAAAATAAATGATTCTGGTAATACCCACTCCAAACTGAAATGGCAACTGAATATTCTTTCTGATCCCGATCGGCCTGTTGTGGATTTTCAACATTTCTGATTGTATTTCAGATGTCCAGTGCTCTCAGTTTTTCTTTTTATTCGAACTACATCGAGAAATTATTCTCAGTTTTAAAACTTAAGAGGCTACAGCACTTTAATTTGTTTCACAATTGGTTTTAGTCCTCCCAACAATTGCATTCTGACTACAAGAAAAACAATACCACTCTCTAGAGGTGAAAAAATGCACAGCAGCATGGATTTGTTATGAATAATACTTAATTTTTTTAGTGTCTTCCACATTGGGAGAACGTCCCAAAGTGCTTCACAGAATATTCTGTGAAGTGCAATGACGAGTGTTTTTGTGGGTGTAATGCAGCAGCCAGTTTACACACAGCAATGACCCATAAACAGGCAGGAAGTGAATGATCAATCTTTTTTCACCCAAAACGTAGCAGAAAATGGGTTTGGGTCATTTCCTTACAAAAGTGCCTAGGAGCAATTAAAAAAAAAAGTTTTGCTCCTTTTAAGCCATAGACTTTAAACCAAGGTGTTGTCTGCCTGTTCAGCTGGGGTTAAAGATCCCATGGCTCTATTCGAAAAGAGAATAGAGTTTCTCCAAACTTCAAACAGAAGAGGCACCTTGAGACGTCCTCTCGACGTGATAGGTGCTATTCAAATGTAATTTGTTATTCTTGTTGTTTTTCTCATTGTATTGGCGAACAATCCTCCAAATAAAATTATTTATGGAACATTGCTGTCCAAAATTGTGCCTCCGGGGCTGCCTATACATACCGTCACTCCATTTTACAGTAAATCCTGTGAAGCACTTTTGAGACATCCTTCTGATGTGATACAGCACTATACCATATGCAAGGATTATTATTATAAATTGGCAACAAAAAGTACACCAGTTTGAATGTTATGTCAACAGCACAATGATACAGCTCGGTGTAACATTTATTGAAACATTACTTTGCACCTTTATTTTTAAAAACTTATTTGTTGCCTTGCATCCGACATCAGTGGCTTCAAAATTCACCAGTAAGTAACTGACTAATTTAAAGTAATTGACTAATTTAAAGTAATTGACTGATTTTAAATTAAGCAATTAATCATATTAAAAACAGATTTAAATATACTATTGGATCAAGCTTATTTAGTAGCTGTTAAAACTTTTATACTGCACATTTAGATTTCTGCCTCCAAAGTTAGTCATCCACATATGAATATCTAAAACCACACACACAGAAAAATCTAGTTTACATCAGCTGCTTCCACATTTATTTTTCTTGTTTTTCTCTGGGTTCCAGGTGCATTCTCCGGTAGAAAACACGGTGTGGAAAAATTACTTTTTTGCACCTTGCATACACCTTCTCCTTTCCTTTAACCGAACTGTAAACTTTTGCGTAAAAGTTTTCTAAATGTTTTTACGTCAAGTTAATTTCAGCAGAACATACAAACGTGAATCACTGTAAAGCCGGTTTCATTACATATACATTAGAACAAATGATGACTCACTTAAGTATCTGGAATCCCCTCAGTTAATTTTTACATTTGAAACAGGTCATCTTACCTGCTAATGCTACAAGAACAGTGGCTCCTAATATCGCCCATGGAAGCGAGCTCCAACCTCTGCACTGAGCCATTTTGTTTCTAAAAGTGTCTGAAAGTATCTCAAGTCTTAAATAAGTGGGGGTGGGTGGGGGAGTGCCGAAGGAGTCTAGGAGAGGTTGAGTCCTGAACACAGAGCTTTCTGTACTGTACCAAAAAAGAGCAAGCATTTAACCTAGCAGCCCCAGCTGGACCAACACCTACTTCCCACATACCAGACAAATATGTTGCTGTATTAAATTAAAGGAAATGATTCCATGCTATTTGGAGGATTTCCCAGCCAGAATTTTCTATCCTGTGAAGTAGAGTAACAGGAGGTTTTTAGATTGTTCAGGTGATCGTCAGAATCGTCAAAATGTGACTAAGGCAGCTCATCAGGGCAGACCACAGAATTACTTCGCTATAAGCTCTGCTCACAAATCTCCAGTCGGTGGTGAAGTTTTGTATCTCGGTGCGACTCGTCTTCCTTTAAATTACATTTCACTTTGGGGGTAAGACAGAAGTGTAAAACTTCTCACAATACATGTATGAGTGGAATGCTTTATAACGAGTCACCGTTTATCAATCAAGAGTACCTTAGCCCTTAAATCCCCTTTCCATGAGTATGCCAATCTGTGGAAGAGCTGGGTGTCGCATTCTATTCTAAAGACATTGGTAAGTCAGTTGTTTACCTTACCCAAAGGGCGAAATGGAGGGGTACAATCAGAACCAGGAGAATTTTGGCTGATTTTCTCATTCTCCCCAGGCCAGCGACGCTGAGCTCAACTGTAATACTGCCCCAGATAAGAGACACCAGGGACCTTGGACCTTCAGTCTGTATAGTCCAGTTCTCTACTAAGCAGTCTTCAACAACCAAGTCTGAACCATTGAGGCAACTATGAATGTAGCTCAGATCACCCAGTTCCTCAAGCGAAAGACACTTTGTACGTAATGGGCGACTTCAATCAAGGTAAAGCAGAGCAAGACAGGAAAGTGCATTCATAAACAAGACAAAGTTACATTGAAAAAAAAGTGGAGTAGAAGGGAAAAAATTACAAAAAGATTCAAAATTTTACATTTTGGGTTAAAGGATTAAGTAAAAGCAATTTCTCAGACTAACGTATGGATATTAAATCACTAGTGTTGAAGCGTTCTATATTTTTAATTGCAGGTATGAGACTGAAGGATATTAAACAATTTTATTTTATAAGGAATTCATGAATACCTCGAACTACAATACGGTACATTCAATGATTCTGATTTTAGGTATGACCTTGGTCAACCACTAACATTTTTAAAATATGTCAACCAGAGGTATTATGAATTACTGCTGCCGCAGCCCACAGCTCTGAAGGTTCCAGTCCACCAGTCGGTAAGCATTTTACCACAGATCCGATAATGTTTGCTTTTAACTGGTACACACTGAGACAGATGTAACAGTGCAGTGGAATGTTCTTCAGACTTTGCAAAATTCTGCCACATATGCCAGAAAAAATATCCATGGCTACTTCTACACTGAAGCCTCGAAGATAGCTCTGAATTGATCAGTGCTCATTTATTATTACATTTATAATCTAGATTTCTGAGAAATTAAATCAAAGAGGCCAAATGCTCTCCACAGAGAGAATTCCATTTTATATCAGCAGTGACTGAGTGTTGTCATTCACTGTAAAGGGCACTAAACAAAAAGCACATCTAAATGCATTCATGAATTTGAAGATCTAACTCAATTACCTTATAACTATTACCATGAATTCTGTTTTGTGTCCAGCACAACAACAAAAAAACTAAGCATGGATAGAAACCCTGATTGTTTTGTTTTTAAATCCACTGTACATTTTAGTTGGTTAATGTTTTATTATTTTAAGATGCTGTTCTGACTTTAAGGCCTTTTATAATGTTCAATAATGACTGTTCCACACACAAATCTGGGGTAACGTAGTAATAGAAGCATGGGAAGATTTTTAATTTTTTTTAAAAAAAGGCAACAGTTTTACAACAATTAAAGTGAACATAAATCTCCAATCTAAAATCTCTTTATAATCTCCATTAATTCATATATTAGTTCTAATTCCCTGAGGCTATTGCAATTACTTGCGTGAAGCAGCTATCAAACAATTGAATAGTTTATACCTGGTGTTTGGTGGAAGTTAAGGGATAGTTATACAATGAAATAATTTAACACATAAAATACAGCAGCTTGGCTAAAACAAAAATCTCATTAAAATATTTTCTTGCATTCAATTTTCATATAGGCTAAAAGATATTCAGTGCATAATCCAGCCCAAAATATATAAACTAATTCACTTTCTGACCCTCCCCTTTACATCCAATTGGATATCTCCATGCTTAACCACACTATCACCACACCAGAGGGCAACCTCGTGCACCAAGAATTAAGCAGGAGTCGTTTCTCAGGAGCAAAACACGATGGATTGAAAAATTGGAAGCTTCTCATTCAGTTTTAGAATTTTTATTCCCTATTTCTTCTAAGCACTGAGGGTTGGTTCTCAAACCATGCAGATTAAGCCTCATAGACAATGATACAGTTGTACAAATTATACCTTGGTAGAAAGGCGTCTGTAGAATTAGGGAATTTGATCTCAGGGTTATAACGATGGATTATTTATTCTTTTTGTAAGATGGGTTGGAACTGCATTAGGTTATGATGTAGAATCTCGTATGGACGTTAGGGAAACAGAAACACACCACTCTGTTGTGTAATCATCATTTTGCCAGCACAGTGAATTCCTGATGTCACCTATACCCTGTTTCACAAGGCATTATTAACCTACAGGCAGACTTATCCAGAGGAAGGCAGGCTCATTAGCATGATAATTCATATTTGCTTCAAGAGAGACTTGGAAACAAGCCACTTCTTTCCTGAGTCATGGAAAATCATGGTGAAAAGTCAGTGTAGAACAGACAGGATAAAATCATATTACAACACATCAACAATATCCAACATTCAAAATGAAAAGAATATTCAATATATTACCAGAAAATTAAAAAACCCAAACATTGTACTCTCAGAATTCATTGGTTTATTTTGATGCAACGTATTTACACATTTTTGTTTCTTGTTGAAAATACCAATCTACGATTGTAAATTCACAATACGTGAATTAACTATTCACAAAGAGACCCCAAAGAGCAGGGAATGGTCGTTTCCTGTCTTATAGTTTGGCTTGAACAAATAATCAGTTCTGATATAGTACAACCTGTATTTTTCAGATTCAATTGGAATCTCAACTCAACCTTCCCGTCTACCCCTTCTCCCCCCATTTTACATAGCAGTTGTACAAGAAACCCCAAACTAGCCAGTGCCTCTGTGTCAACTTCTCTGTTCTTCTGCAATCGAGTCAAAACTATGTACAAGTCTGCAGCAGTCTGTGTTTATTGAACATATTTGAAAAGCTGGTCTGGGTTCTTTATGATCAGTACACCTTTCTTTCCCCTATGCCCTAAGGATGTAAATTACAAATTGTCAAAAAAAATCACTTTGTCAAAACAATCTTAACATGTTTTTATCATTAAAAAAATTACTATGTTATCCAATTTATGGTACAACTAAATGTGGATAAAACTCTCAATTTTGCCTGCCAAGTATTGTAATGCTTGAATAATGATTTCCATCAAAAGAAATGGCAATGGCTCATTTGAGTATTTCTGTACCAGAACACATTTAAATCATTCAGCAATTCAACTGAAACAACAATTGAAAGGAAAAAAAAAGTTCCCTTGAATTTTTAAACCATAAAACTGATTAGTCTCATAAACTTCACTCCTGCTCCAAGGTGAAAATTTGGCAGTAGGCTGTCTAATTACAAATTAGCAGTTAAACAATATTTTCTGTTTGGATGAAGATTTAGTATTAAATTTACATGAATAGGAAACTATGCATTAGGATTGAAAGCCCAACGGGAGGAATGCGTTTGGAACATTTGGTTCTATACTTCGATCAGGTATGCATATACCTGGAAGTGATTGTACAATAAAGTCTTCAATGGTTTTGATGGCACTATCATCATGTTTAAACAATCAGCATTGTTGAAACTGTTTGAGCCAACAAGGTACATTTCTATACAGTCTCAGTAAATGTAAGTGAACTAATGTCATAAGTTCACTTTCATCTCAAGTTCATAAGCTTTGTAAATAAGTAGAACGGTTGACTCCAGTGATGCAATGCTTTTCACATTGTTTTAAAGCAATCCGCTTGTCTCCAGAATAAGACTCACCTTCGGACAGTACATACATGATCCATTTCTACAAAAGCAAATGTAAAATTTCGGGGGGGGGGGGGGTGTTTGTTGTTTGGGAAGTTCATACCTCTTGTGAAATATTTAACCATTTTAATCGAAACTCACATAAATATTGCCTGTACTTCAATCCAAAAGAAATCACCATTAGAACATTATGGTATCTTAACACTTAGGTTTTAGTGTTAAAGGGGCAATAAACATAAAAGTTCAACAGTTACATAGCATTAATCCACTATTATGTAAAAAAAAGACAAATAGTTGGACACCACAGCTGCCATAATGAGGTGTGCAGATGGATGTTAACAATGCAGACATTATAATACATGGGAGATACTTGAAAACCACCATACACATTTATTCTAGGATTGTGTGTGTGTGTGTGGGGAGGGATGGGGGGAGGGGGGGGGGAGTTGAAAGAAATCATTTGACTTGAGATACAAAATATTTTTGGATTTGAATTTGTCTTTAATTAAATCATTTGACTTAAGATATGAAATTAAGTTACCTCTTAATGGGCGAAATGCAAAGACAACCAATGCATACTCCAATTAGGTAGAACAATTGGGGTCATTATTTGCGTTCCATAATTTTAAATACAAAAAATAGTGACTGACAGCCACTTTGTTAGCCAGCCAAATAAAAGGATAAAACAACAGAATTTAATAGCTATGTGATGTATTTTCCTTATGTAGTAATACCAGAGTTTTGCAGTGATTTTTGCTGCACTTTTGCAGATACTAATCATAATGCCTTTCATAAGGAGCTGCAAACACTTTCATCTGCCTGGAACAAGTAAACATTCATAAAGTGTATAGGTGCATATAAAGCATAAAAAAGGGTCAGAAGATGGTATGTATGGAAGTTGTAACTCAGGTAGGGATCAGAGTTAATTTTCCTCTCCCACTCCATCACCATTGAGTTACCAACCTCAGCTAAGCCAACCATCAGGGGTAAAAGGATCAGTCTGCCCTTGTGCACCTCCCCGTAGCTGGGTCAATAGCAGTAATGGTTGAAGCCCAAAGCAGAAAACCAACTCATCCTCCCTTGATATTTAGCCTAGTGACAGCAGAAAGAGTGATGGGAATAGTTTATTACGAGGGAAAACCAAGACCAAGTTATTCTCCCCAAATCCTCATCTTAAAAAAAGATTTGATTAACAGAGCAAATTTAGAAACAATTAAAATGAACATTGCCTAGAAAACAGGAACACAATACAGGAAGCGACAAAGTAGAATCCACTGTATTTTCTTTACTTCAGAGTGGACTCTAGAGAAATGTTCTGTGCATAATAATGATTTTCTTTTTAATATTTATCATTACGTTTTCATACAGATTCTAATTTTGGAAAAAAAAGCGATTCAAAAAACATGTTTCTCAGAAACTAAAAAAAGTCCTTCAGTCACCAAAGGGTCAATTACCCAAGTTCCCTATGAATGGGAAACATCTGTACATCTAAATACAAGTAAGCTGCATTTCAATGCTTTGTTAAATAAACTGTTGATGTGCAGTGGCTGCAGCATTTTGTTGTCTAAGCAGAGTTCTCAGCTTTGTAAAAACTGACTTTGATTAGGCCAAAATGTGCTAAAAAGATTTGATTTTCAACAATTTTAAAACACAACCTACACAAGTCGCCAAGTGGGGTATAGCTCCTTTAAAAGAGAAAGTATCCTTGGCCTAGACAAACAGATTTAGCAGTCAGTATTGGAAAATCTCAGTCACGTCTCCAATCACACACTGCACCCTTCATTCAGCAACCTTACATGACTGGAGGAATGAATGCCTTCATTTTCCGATCGAGAAATACACAACCAATAGTTCATTGGTTAACCTGAAGATATTAGGAAGGTTGCAGTGTGCTGAATACTTCAAATATATTACTTAAAAAGACTGGACAATGCCAAAGTTGTAAGTCCACAATTTGTTTAAAGGGGCTAAGGCAGACTGGATGCTCTCCTATGCAAAAAACTGTGCATAGATAATCTTACAATTTCCGAGCTGTCTTTAATACATTTCAGTACGTTTTCAACACAACTGTATTATTGAATCAGCTTATAAATGCATTAATGACAGGATTGTTCAGAAATGTGCAACCAAAGAAAAGATGTTAATGTGACCAACATCGAAACGTCTCGTTAATCATGTATTCTGAATAACAGCCAATACAAACAAAATCAATGTTTAAGTGACACAGTACCAGATTTAACAGCAGTATGAAAGTTATTCTTTGGAAAGGTAAAATGGGATTCTAAGCATGCAAGCTATTGCAGAGGGTCTTTGAAGTGACTGCTTTGTACTTGAAACATGATCGCACGAAGGAGTGAAGGGGCCGTAGCAAGTGTGCTGAGGTATCAAAGACAGACGTGAACTCAAGGTAATAAGTTAGATTTTTAATTAACTGATATTGGTTGGTGCATTCAGAATTCATGATTAACATTTTTTTTAATTACTCAAATTTGCTTCAGTAGTCGTCAAGTGTCTCAATCTCTCCCATGTTTAGCCGTTCTGATGAAGCATTTACAGAGAAACCTGTAGAAGGAAGAATGGAACAAGTTTAATGGTGAATACATTTTTAAATTGTCCTTTCATGGACTCAGTGATCTCTCTCGTTAGTATCCTATCTCATGCAAACAGAAATAATAAGCTTTGTATTTGATAATAGTGCTTATAATGTCCAAAAGGAATGGGGATCTTTTTCTGTACGTATAATTTAAAAACAAACTGTTCTTTATTAGGGAAACCCATTTGAACATACAACTTCATATAAATCCAGCTTTGAGAAACTGATCAAGATTGCTTATTCACTCGTGTGAGTATAAATGCTAAGTTTTCCTTAATACATTATAATAATAATCCTTGCATTTGATATAGCACTTTTCACATCTTTTAGACGTCTCAAAGCGCTTCGCAGAATAGACTGTAAAGTGAATTGACTGTATATTTGAGGGCGAAATGCGGCAGCCAATTGGGCACAGCAATGTCCCACAAACAGTTTGAAGTGACCAATTTATTATTTTTATTTTCTTGAGGGATTATTATCAGGCGTGTAGAGTAAGGAAACTTGCCCAAGGTTTCACCCTGCTGGGAATCGAACCCAGGTTCCCGCTTGCAAAGCGAGTGCTCTAACCACTGAGCTACAGGACTCCATGGGACTTATACATCATAACTAAAATACAAAGAAATTGGTGAGGACGTCAACTATTCATTTTAATTTTGTTTGTTTTTTTAAAAAGGGTGAATGATTGCCTGGGTCATCAGTAATTTTAAATGAATGTTACAATCACAATTATTTAATCCCATTTCAGCATCATACTCAATTTAAATAATGATAGATTCTGAATTGTAGTATTTAACTAGTAAGACGTTCAGAAGCCTGATCCAATAGTTTAAGATCTAACTGCAGTATTTTGTTCAGATCTTCGTGGTACAATTCTGGTGATAATTCTACTTTCACCTCACTCCTCGCTCTGGCCTCTTTCACATCCTACGTCCCCTCCACCTTTGATGGCCATTCTTCAACCACTACATCCCGAGTCTCAGGAACCCTCTGCTTCAAACACTCCACCCTGCCCCCTTGTTGTCAGTGTTCAGATCACACCTAAACACCTTCCTCTTTGATCCTACCTACAGTGACCTCCCCTCTCTCCCTGGCTCACCATCATACTCCACCACTGCTAAGCACTCTGAGACTCTAGCCTGCACAAAGGGAGCTACATAAATGCTAGCAGACAAGCTAAGAATAGCAGCATATTTTATGTGACGAATTTGCAATTTTATTGTGATATAGTACTGAACACTAACCCAAAATGCTGGGATCAGCAGGGATCATTTTCTGTTTTTTCTTCTTCTTCCCAGACTGCACAGTTTCAAAATTAGACTGTTGCGTTCTACTATGATTTGATGGAAAGATGGACTGCAGACTGGTTTGACCCATGGCCCAAGCTGAATCCTATAGCACACAAATAAGTGATAGCAAGAAGCATTAAAATATGGAAACCATTAATACACTTTAACATTGCTTATATTTTACACATAATTTAGGGGGATTATTCCGCAATAACTCAGATTTCATTGCATTTCCTTTCAAGTCAGGCAAGTTTAATTTAGATTTACATTGTCACTTCTTCCACGAGCTTATTGAATTAATCACTCAACATCTTCTCCTATGAGGCCCAGTGATTTTTCCTTTTTCCTCAATTAAAAAATATATTGGGAGTGGAAAATTACAGGATGAATGTGTTGCATAATACTTTATTTTTAACATTTCAATTATATCCACTGCAAGGAATAGAAAGGAAAAACTAATAAAGTGAAACAGATGGGGCACATTTTCACTTTCTGCTAATGAATTTTTTTTTAAAACGGAAAATACTGAATTTGTCATATTCAAGTTCATTCTATGTTAAGAAGTTAAAATTTGCAATGCAAATTACTGAAGCAACACGGTGCTTATCAAAATAACTAAATATTCTGAAATTTATAGTCACTCACATTATTATCTTAAAATTTTTAATAACAGGAGCACAAATAGAATTAATTAAACACTGATTTGGGTTTATAAACGTTTATCAAAATGATGGTTATTTCATAGCTTAGCAGAAGAGGAGCTCAACAAAAGCACAGTGCTATTCAATGCCAAATCATCTCTCAATGGAAAGAGTAGATTGAACATATTCATTCAGAAACTGAACAATGCAAAGAGGAACACTTAGCACACACAAACCTGCTGCTGCCTTTGCTGTGAATGTTGCTGCTGCTGATTGGTTTTCTGATTGGCACGTCGTTCTAGAAACTGCTTTGCAAATTCTTTTGTTTCAGGAGTCTCACCAAGGTATGCTCGGACATAATCGTGAACCTCGTAAGGCGAGTCCACTTCTTTCAAAAAAGACACAAACGTGGGAACTGAAAAAGAGATAAAGAACGAAAAACAAAGTTTGAGCAGACTCCCTTTGGAAACCGAGATACATTCGCAGATTTTGTATACTACATACCGTCTAAATTGTTAGCCGTGTTGAGAACATGTAACATCTGCTCACACCACAAGGTAAATCCATCCTGTGCTTTGTTAACTCCCTGGAACAGTTTCATAAGTTTCTCTTCCTCCTCAATTTTTTTATTCTGTTTGGCTTGAACTCCATATGACTTTCTGAATGAAAAAGTTCAACTTTAATATAATTTTCCAGAAAGAATTTAAAAAATATTAAAAAAAGTATTTCTCTTACCCTGCGTTGGAATTGCTCTTGCTGCTTTTAGAGGTTTGGTTTCGTGTTGGAGGCCCCACCTCCTTGACAGCTTCATCCCAGAATCCCATATTAGAATTCTTGTTATCCGGTGCACCCCAAACACTGCTCATGTCCGTGGCCCACTGGTTGGTAGAACTGGTATTCACTGATCCCCATACAGATGTGGCGTTGCTAACTGGCAAACTAGAATGCTAAAATAGAAAAGGCAGAACAAACACAGAATAAATCAAATCTTTAATAACTTAGTATTGACAAATAGTGAAAAGGGGGATACGAAACACAGAACAATTCCGATTTACATCCTATTAACATTTCCTTGTTAATTGCCATTTGCAGTATAGAATTGATATCAGGTTAAAATAACAAAAATATGACAACTCTTGTACAAATACCACTTTGGTTTACATCTCAGTGCTTTGCGTCATCATTTTTGAGTAGTCATTTCTGATTGATTGTTATAATTTGCCTGTCAAGTAGAGGCTGGAGAGCAGATGAGTATTGCTTTACCTAGTCTGATAGTCACCATCTAACAGAATATAGTCCAACCACCACCTCTCCCCACAAAAAACACTGGCAACATTTCCCAGTTCAATCGACAAACAGGACTGTAACCAATTCAATGCAGTTACCAAGAAAAGCGGTAGATACGCCAAATAGTTCATTATGAGTCTAAAAGTCGACAGATTAAACACTCTTGGAATAAGTAATTTGGTCAATCTTTCAAACCATTCTCCTGTCAAGCATCTGCTTCCACTGACTTCAATCCAATCACTTCCCCGGAGAGGGACCAAGAAAGGGAATTTATATTGATCCTTTATTAACTTTGGGCCATTGTGTACATCAGTTACATTGTTCAAGAAAAACCTTTTGTTGAAGGGTTCTAATGCCCAGTGGCAGCTCAGGATAAGGTGAATTCAGAGGTGAAGGCAGAATTCATAAAAGGGTAATAATCCTTCGCATTTGACAGGTGATTAATGTTAAAGACATTCACAGATTAATCGATCTAGTTTGATATGAAAGCATTCAACAAAGGGGAATAAATTATGGTGGTTTTTATTATTAAACATTGCTAATTTAGCAACATTTGTTAAGTAGGAGCTTTATACTGTGGATATATTGAGCTACTTCATAGTGGATAGTTAAATTATTATATTGTAATGCATACAAAGAATGTTGAATGCAGTGGAAAATACACTTTGAAAGTATAAATCTGCACTAATGATTCAGTGGAGTCATACAGTCTCTAACCCCAGGGATCATCAGTCATCATTTCACTGTAATTGCTTTAAATGAGCTCAGTCAGGTTGCACCAAATCTCCCTCTGGCAGTGTGGGTTTTTTAAAAAAAAATCTTTTTACCTTTCACTAGATTTGAATCAATTCACTAAGAAAACAAGTTTTACACATTTAAAGAAGTTAATTGTGACACAGCATCTTGAGACATCCTCCTGATGTGAAAGGTGCTATACAAATGTAATTTTGTTGTTGCTGATCTTAACTGTGAAGTGATTCAGTTGAACAACTCCAATGTGCTGTTCCTTCTACTGAGCCACACTCTTGGCAGCACCTACCTGGTTCCTTTCTGCTCCTACTCTCTTAGTTGTAGATTCCTCTCTTTTCATCACTGTGTTGTTCTTGAAGTTAGTTTCTTCATGACTGCCAGAGAGATTCAGCTTTGCTGCTACAGACTTTCAAGAGGTGATGGAAAGAGAGGGGGACAATGTTATCAGAAGGATTAGACTGACATTTTTGTATTTAATTTTTTAAATGGCTTTTGCTACTTTGCACAATTCTATAAATGTTTAACGCAGTGTACACCAACTCTGCTGGTACATTACTTACTGTTTTGGTCTGTGTCTTGTTCTGCTGCTGTTTTTGCATTTGCCGAGCTTCTTCTTGCTGGATTTCCAAGAGCGATTTGGTAGCCACTGGAGTTTTGGGGATATTTCCCCAGCCTGGCAGTTTCTGCTGCTGATGATGTTGCTGTTGCAAGACTTTCATCAGTTCTTGCTGCTGCCGTCGCTGCTATTGGCGTAAAGCAACACATTACTGAGAGATTGCCAGTTTTACAAGAGTCCAATAGAAATAGTTTTTCTGAATGTTATACTTAGACAATGAGGTTGGTATTTAGGGTACCCATGTGAGCATCAAGCATTCCCCAGGTCAGGTACATCACAAGCACATGGAATGTAAAATATCTTTTTTTCTGCCTAAACAAATCCCTGAGCCCTTCATAAGAGCACCCACTTATATATTATATATATTTATAAAAACTTTGCGCCACCACAAGATCCCTTATATATTTACTCAATAGAAATGTCAATTTGATGTCAAGATGACGTGCTGCAGCCCATTTCCATCAGAAATGAGTTTGCCGACGCATAAGATTACAGCCATCAGCCAGTCGCCCACAAAATACAGTCAATCCACTTTACAGTAAATCATGTGAAGTGCTTTTGAGATGTCTCAACGACATGAGACATAAAATGCAAGGATTTTTTTTATGATTATCACACAAAATGTGATCAACTGACTGAAAGGAAACCTTCAAATTGTACCTACCACCTTTAAAGTTGTTAATCTCGGCTATGCCATTGGGGTGAGGTGCAAAGCACAGATGAGGATATAAGGGAATGAAGAGAGTGCAACTCACATACATCAATGTTTAATACAATCTGGTAGATTTCAAATCAATTAGATATTGCAGGAATCTATAAAATTGACAAATTGTCTGGCTATCACAAAGTTTATAGAAACATATTGTCTTACCTCTTCTCGTAACTGCCTTTCCCTTTCCTCCTCCAGTTTTTGTATCTCAGCTAGTGATAGGGTACCCTGTATCTGAGGTGAAACAGGTGCTGCTTGCTGTCCCCATGTTGAAGAGGAAGGAAGCTGAAGAGAAATGGGGCTAAATTAGGTTTAAAAAAAAGAATTTCTGAGTAGCATATTAACAGTTCAGGTTCTGGACTGGTGAATCTAATTTTCGATCAATTTTAATAGTATTCATAGATTTTATAATTGGAGATCTGTGAGCTGTTACTGGGGACCATTACTCCATCAATAATATTCTCCAAAATTAATAGCTTTTTTTTAAAAACTTTGTTTCATAATCTGGAAGTACCTTTAAAGTCACATATAACTGGTACCAGGAGAATGAGAAGGGAGTGTATTTTCAAAAGGAGGATCAGAAAGAGGAAGAGGTGGGACACAATTCAATAATGACCTGGCTTTGGCCTGTCATGGAAATAATGGAGAATACTCCACAAATATGATGATCCAAATACATATGGTGCAGTAGAAGTTTAGCATTAATGCACCAAGAATAGTGCCTACAAATCCCCAGTAACTACACTTTACACTAAAACCTGTGAAGTGCTTTAAGACTTTAGAAAACACGACACTAGAATAAATTGGTTTTCAAGTTATTAACTGGGTAACTAACAATACTAGTCAAAATATTTCACAGCATTGGACAGTCAGTATTGGTGTCGGTCACAAGAACACTTGTTTACCCAAAACGAATACAATGGAACCGATTTGGGTCTGATTCATCAAGATATTTTTGTTTTCAACCGTAAACAATATCCTCATCACAAATCAATGAACTAAGATAATTAACACTGGCAATAGAGAAAGGCAGTGCAAAGTTACAGATATAAATAATCCAAGAACATGTAGCTTATGCATACTTTTCCCAAACTCAGATAATGCGTCACATTATATAAGAACAGGCTAGTATTTAATTTGTGGTGACATTCACACATTAAGTGTGGAAACCATGAATTCAGATTTTTCTTCTTAAAACGTGGTTCAGCTCAAACATAAGTTTCTGGTATTAATTGTATTTGTATGGGAGAATAATGTGGGCACCAGTCAGATGCTGTAAAAAAAACATGAAGGGGAAAAAAAAGGCTCCTTCTGGAGAGTTGACAGCATAGCAAAAGAGCTAGATATGAAGCAATTTATTGGAAGTTACTAAAATGGCCTCAAAACATTTGTAGTTTTCTGGTTAGTTATGTCAACCATCTAAAGATAATAAAACTGCAAAGATAAGTAAGGTACCATCCAAATGCAACACTCTGCTAGAAACCAGTAATATCCTTTTCACCTATTTCTTTATTCTAGATCGGGGGTTTAAAGTCCAGTATTTCCTCATTTAGTAGCAGACAGATCAATGAAGTCATGAAAATGATAAAACGTCGCCCCATAACATTTGTGAAAAACTGCAGTTTCATAAGAGAGTAGGTAATGCTTTTAACAACTGTTGACCCAGATGGACAAAGAGTAGCTGCCATTTTATGAGTGGCTATGTAGACAAATCAAAGAAGTTCCTCATACCGGAATAATATATGCAGATTTAATCAAATAGTAAAATAAAGTTGAATACAGTAAACAATTTAATTGATGCATGGCAAACATTTAGATCAGTACTTTAAAATAATTTACTTTTATAAAAATTTCACTCCTACAAAGCAGCACGCTATAAATCGAAATGTCTATTAGTTATTCAAAAAAGAAAGTCAATTTCAGTCACCAATTCATAATTTTTATTTTGCTGTTGAATTTACAACCGCATTTTACCCCGCAACCCCAGGATACGCCTGTCTATTCTTACCTTCATTTGTGCTAGTTGTTGCTGCTGTTGATGTTGCTGTAGCCTTCTTAGTGCCTCCTGTTGTCTCTGTCTTATAACCTCCTGTCTCTGCAGCTGCTCCTTCTGACGTTCGATCTCTTTTCGTTTCCGCTCCTCTTCCTCTAAACGAAGCCGAGTTTCCTCCAATCGCAGTCGGTTTTCTTCGTCTATCCGTCGCCTAGCTTCTTCCTCCTCCAGCACCCAACGTGCTGCCTCTTCTTCCTTGTGCCTGCGCTCTTCCTCCTTACATAAAGGTCAAAAGTTGAAGTTTAAAAATGGCTTTTCATAGAATATTACCGCACAGAAGGGAGGCCATTCAACTCATCGTGCCTGTGCTTTTGAGTAATATTTACACATCAAAATAGATATGTATGAGTCAGACTACCCTTCTTATTTATGACAGTAAATATTTTAAAATGCTTAAATAATTCTCAACATTTGACTAATTTCATCTGGTGGACTGTTAGCCTGGGAGAAGTTCCTTTCTCTTTTCGTATAGTGCCATGGGATCTTTAATGCCTACCTAAACAGGCAGATGGGACCTGGGTTTAACATCTTATCCAAAGGATGGCACCTCCAATAATGTAGCATATCCGCAGCACTGCTTTAGAGTGTCAACACAGACCACAAGTTCAAAGTCTTGATGTGGAGCTTAAACCTACAACCTCAGGATTTAGAAATGAATGCTTCCAACTGAGCCAGGCGCCACACAAATAATAATAATCCTTGCATTTCATAGCACCTTATCATGTCATCGAGGTGTCTCAAAGGGTAAACTGTAGTGGAGTGCAAATAGGAATAAAAGCATCTATTCTCCAAAGTTTTTTGTCTTCACCCGTTTCAATGCTGATACCTGTTTTCGAAGCATCTCCTCCCTTTGGCGTCTCTCTTCCTCTTCTCTCCGCCTCTCTTCATGCCGTCGGAGGGCCTCTTCCTGTTGTTGCCTCTCTTCTTCTTCCCTTTGTCGACGCAGAGCTGCTTCCTGCTCTCTCTGGCGTCGAAGTGCTTCTTCCTAAATTTGGGTAAATACATAAAATTCCTGCCTTTGGTGTCCCCAAATAAAACGTAGGCTCTCATTTGGAATCCAAACTATTTTACATCAATAAGGACATACCTTTCTTTGATATAAACATGCACAGTTTTCACTTACTGCACGTAAATTAATTTAATACTTTCCTCTCCTCAACAACAACAAAAGTGCAGCAGAAGATATCCCTAAGTAAAAACCTGCAGGTAAAATATAAGCACTTACACTTTGGAATGGACCTCCTTCACCCATTGTTCCATAAGCAGATCAATAAACATGGTCATTAATTTACCAGATCTTTTCTCTCAATCAGTTGGTTCAGCACAACTTGGCCAAAAACAAATATATTTGGAGGTCAAATTTTTTTTAAAATAACACTGCGTTACAAATCCATCAAAGCTAGAAACTTAGTTGCTGAATGGAGAATAGCTTACAAAAGTCCTCTATAATTTCTCAAGACCACTTATAGTTCCTGATCAGAATTGTCAAACAAAAGATTGTAAACATGTTGTTGGTTCCCAGTTACTATGTATACAGATGACAGAAAGGAATGCAGCTTGAAGAGAAAGTCAACATTCAACAAAATACGATAATTACTGAGAAACCAAGAAAGTCCTACGGTAGGTGCTGATAGGCAAAACAAACCATTTCTCATTGCCCCCAATGAATGCTAATAACTAGTTCGACATTGATTGCATTTTATTTGTCATCAGCAGAACTTGAATGAAACTTTAAATCAAAAGTAAAATTAGAATTTTAGACTAGGCCTGGATAAGCTGCAATAGTTCTGCTGTGATACATAGATAGGTAAACATTCTTGTCTCTTCGAAGACTAATCAGGTCTCAACCACAAATGCTGATTATGTGCTTGTGCACCTCTAAGCTTACTTGTTTTCTTCTTGCAAGGTCCTCTTCTTCCCTTCGTTTTCTCTCCTCCTCTCGTCTTCGCAGCAGCTCTTCTTGATGACGGCAGATTTCCTCTTGTAGCTTTCTTTCCTCTTCCTCCCTTTTAGCCCTAAGCTCTGCCTCTCTCCTTTCTTGCTCCAGCTAAACAAACAAACAAAAAAATCATAAAAACAAACTTCGATGAAGATGAAACAGGAGCTTCTGGTGCAGTTTGACCACCTCCTGCCTGGTGCACCTTGTAGAAATAAAATCATCAAATACCACAAGTAAACATTTCACCAGAATGAGTGACCATAGTTATAGCATCAGAATAGGAATGCCAAAAGCATCATACATGAACACGTGAAACAGTAAAGACAAATGAATAGTTTAGAATACAATTTTTTTTAAAAAATTGGACTCTGGGTCTCATGCAGGACTTCAAGTCCACTGAGTAACCACTATGGCTAAGATATAAAATATTGTAATTAATTCCTTGCCTAAAAAGGAGCTGAGTGCTCCTGCTGCTCCATCAGGTTTGTTTTCCTGCCCAACTGCATTCTGACCCCTTTTCTTAGGAAATGCATTCTGCAGCTGCAAACAAAATGAATTCCAGACTCCTGCAAACAAAATGAATTCCAGACTGACAGCTCGTTATTAAGCACTTTCTCAAAAAAAGATATTTTTCACTCATTTACCTTGGCAGCTTTTCCTCTCTCCATCTGCTGGATCTGATCAACCGAGGCCCCTTGAGTGGGCGGGTCTACGGGCAAGTCCCAGACACTGCCGCCATCCCAACCTGAAAGAGAAAAGGAGAAGATGAATGAAATGGGAAAGCAAAAACTACCCGGTCGCTAAACCAAAGAAGAACTAACAGTTCATGTTTAAAACACTTTCCATAATGTCATTATACAAGTCGGCAAGAAAAGCCAGGCTGACCAATCCAAATCCATTGAAGTGCAGCCTTGCTGGCTGATCAAGTAGAACTGAGAATGCCATGTTCAGTCTGCATCCCAGGACAACTCGTCAGCCCTCTCACATGAGGAATTCTGGAGGCAGGGAGTAACGACAGAAAAAGGGAAACCAGAGATAATAAGACCCCATTTAGCACAATGGATATTCCTTACCATGGATACAGCAATAACGCAGGCGTTTATAAAAATTTCTTAAGTTTTTTTAATTTAAGGAGTACATTAAAATAATTTGATCCACAAATTTGGGAGAAAGACTATAGTACGCAGATTATAGTACTTATGAAGATTTTTTAAAATGATTAAACAGATTACATTATTTATGGATTTACTGATTATACCAATAAAGTCTAGACTTCAATCACATGCACAGCTAGAAAGGGATGAGAAACAATATGATGCATTTTATACAAGCATCAGTCAAGAGAAGGAGATATTTGTCTCCTCAATCAGTTCCAGGGTTATGGCAGTCAATATATCCAAGCCACAGAATGAGATACTGGGAGAAAACTGCAAAGCAGTGACATAATCAAAAGGTTACAACGTCCAAAGTTTACGTATATTATCTGAAATGATTGTTAATGTTGGAAACTAAATTCCCAGTAACTAGCTGCTCCATTTGATAAGAATTCTAGAACGTTGTAGAAATCATATATACAGCTAAGAGCCATGTTTTCTGTTAACGCAATACTACTCTTTTTTCATCCTCCTCGTGTTTTTCTTTCACTTTGACCGTGCCTTCAGCTCCCCTCTCGACTCTCTATCCCCTCCTCGCTCCCTCCATTCCCTCCCTTCACCCTGACCATTTCCCCCCTGCTCGGGTCCTGACCCTACTGTCCAGCGCCTTGGGACGTCCTCCCGACATGAAAGGCGCTCTATAAATGGAATCTTGTTGTTGTTTTCATAGAAGATCTTTGTGTTGTAAACGATTTCAACTATTTTATGTATTGTTCCCAAAAATGCATATACATCTTGGTTTAAAGTGCCTGAGGCATTTGACAAAGTTAAGTACTTTGGCTAAAGCACGTTTATTTTGCAAGCTGGAAGAATCTGGTAAATGATATTTACCTGAGGGCTGTGATGATGGAGTTTGTAACTCCCATATGGAACTGTTGTCAGGCACAGCCATGGACCTTGTTACGGGAGGTATCAGACTTTGTTCGGAGGATCTGAGTGCAGATAAAAAGGTTAAAATAAATTTTTTGGATTAAGACCCAATTTGGAAGTGTATTAAAATGCTTCCGCATGGCGCTTCATATGCTTTTTATAAATAGAAGATTATTCAGGGAACGAATATGCTTTTAGACGGGTATTTAGCAGGCAAGTTTACTGATAGCTACACCCTATACCCAGTGATCACACTGACTTGATTTTTTTTGCACATAATATTAATGGCATCAGCCATCAGTAGTACTTTTGTATAAAATTTATTTTGTAGACGTGCTAAACGATAAGAGTTAATTGAGTATCTACTGGCTCAGTTACTATATTTTAGTGCTAACAAGAAAACAAAAGTATCCAGTTTTTTAAAGTATAATCTTTATGAACTGATCTGGATTAGTCATGTTTCAACAATCTGTTTTGTGTAACTCTTGTGATACATGAGTCTTATCTGTTATCCATGTTCCTATTCTAGGGTTGTTCCACCATTCGTCTGCCAGACATTAATGATAGTATAGGTTTACACAGATAGTACACAACTACAGTGGAGCCTGCAACGATCCCAGCCCTCCTCCATGAATGCCGAGTGCATGGCATGAACAAGCCAGCCATCTAAAATGCACAATGTGTGAAATCGATGGTAACCTAATGACCTGGAAATTGGTCATTTTAGTTCAGACACTAACTGATCGGCTGCATCAATGCGGAATAAATGGAGTTTACGTGCTGTTTGCATTGAAAGAATAAGTCCTGCAGCAAGTATGTTAGAACGGGACTGCACTACATTTTAGTTAACACTGTATAAAGTTATTTTTGCCTCTTTCCGCAATCCCAACAAGTCAGAGCTTTCAAAAAAGGATTTTTGGTTCAGGCAGGTGTCTGATACATGCAGAAACCCACAATATATAAAATACAAAACAAATTAAAATGTGACCATTCATTTTGATGACAAAATGAGGTACTAAATAGTGAACCTGAACCAGAGAAACTCCTTAAATGTGTTTTTTTTAAATCAAATAGCAAAATAAAAATTCAGAAGCATTTTGCGAAATCAGCTTGCATCAACCACATTCTTCCCAGACTACCCTTTTACAACCTTGTTATAATGTATAGAGAAACCTCTCAAAATCCTTTAATCCCACAATTTTACCTTAATTTCAAAGCCTGGAATTGCTCCAGAATCACAGCCAGTTGTTGTTGTTGCTGCTGCTGTTGCTGCTGTTGCTGCTGCGATGTTATGGACCCCACAACTGCCTTTTGTTGGTGTGCTATGGCTTGTGCATACTGTTGCCTTAAAGAGAAAACAAGACAAATGTTGCTGTGTTTTTCATAAGTTGTACCTTCTACGTGCACATTTACGCCTTCATGAAAATTCAACATTAAAAAAACAATGGAGAAGTCACCAATAACTTGACTTGGTTGGTTACTGATGGTAGAACACATCTGAAAGTAGTTCTCAGTAAATCCAACAGTGCAGTATAATGTACTTGGATAAGGAAAAGTGGTCAATGTAGATCACCACATTGCAATACATCCATCAGTAAGGAAAGACTAGAACTAGTTCTGTAATAATTATGTGTTTTCAGAATGTATCCATACTCGTCAGCTATTTTGTTATCTTACACTCCGAGCTCTCTAAATTACAACAACAACTTGCATTTATATAGCGCCCTTCACGCAGGGTAGTGTCCTGGAGCGCTTATTACAAGCATCATAAACACAAATAACCACTTTGCAGTGTGTATACTACCTGGTCATAAGCTGAGCCTGAAGAAACTGCTGGTACTGTATTTGCTGCATCTGAAACAAGTTCAAAGTAGCAAGTTCCTGTTGCCTCTTCAGTCTTTCCTGATCCAGGTCACCCTGAAAACAAGGTGAGAATCCTAATCATCAAGTCAGTTTCCAATGGTCCATTTCTTTTGCTTATATTTCGCTGTGCTTACCCAAGTGACTGTGGTTGAACTAACCTGAAGTTTAATCATTTGTTTTTCTATGGAGCATGGAAATACAATGTTACATTTATATATGTATATGTTATATATACACACACATTATTTAATTGTGCATTTAATGATACCTTTAAAGTCACACATAATGGTTCATTATAATGAATATTTCTCTTAATGTATGTCAGTCCGCTTACCAGCAATGGAGGAGGAGAAGGTCCTGGAGCAAATGGCACTCTGCCCCACATCTTTATAACTTCTCCCAATGGCTGAAAGCCTTCGTCACAGCCTCGTTTTACAAGCAAAGACATTGTGAAGTAGCCTGCCTGGAACCACTCTGCCATCTCTTGGTTGCTGAAAGGCCCTAGAGTGTAGACCATTAATATATACATTATATATTATACACACACACACATTTCAAAAATGTTAAGTAATGCTCTGATCAGCACATCAACAAATGGTCTCTAAGGCACACCTCAAACAGACCAGTTATTATTTCCGCTCTTCAAAAAGAGCATTACTCACGGGATTTAAGTCCTTATCAGTTTCTTATATTGTACAACTTCACCTGGCTTTCACATAAAATTTGTACTTCATTTTTTTGGTGATGTCCTTGCAAATCAAAACCTTGCTTCAAGGTGGACAAGCAGAGGGGAAGCTCAGCTCACCAGTGCTCTATATTGGTAAACTGTATGGATTTAGAGGATAAACTTCAGCAATATCGCCAAAGCACATCGAGTTTATCAAACCTTTCCTCTTATCAACCTGCACTTAAAATGTTCACAGGGATTAGTTTAACAGGGTGCAATAATGCTGATTGAGCTTCAGATAAGTTGTAAATTTATCAGAAAAAAACTTTATTCTTACCTCAGTGCTCATATTAGAGCAAGACCTACCAATTACATTTCCAATTGACTATAGGTTCTTAAGATTTTGAAGAAACTTCCTTATGGGGAGATCCTTCTTCCATTGTTGCCTTGGTCTACATATTAAATATTACCCTCAAACTATTGCAACTAAACATTAGCAACACCAGCTAAAACCTAGATAACCCTACATTTGCTTAAGAATGAAGAATCTGAAATATGGAAGAATAACCTAGGATAACATCTTACAACTAATAATATTGAATATAATACCAGTAGAAATCAATCTGAAAACAGGAGACTCAAAATATTAGTAGTGCTGTCCAGTATTCAAAAAGCAAAAGCTATTCAATAATTACCATTACAAAAAACTGGGAATTTTTGTGATGTCAATGTGCATACCTTGTATTTCTCCTTGTGGATCTTTATAAAACCACTTCATAGCAGCATCGTGGGACAAGGGTAAGGTAGAGGATTTAGTCCGTTTTTCCTGAATTTTCGTCGACAGTCTTTCGTCATCTAAGGCATTATCCTGTAATGATGCGACCATCTTCTCAGCTTCCTAAATGGGATAGATTATTATTTGAGGATTATGTCCTTTTCAGATTCCTAAACATGAATGAGTGCCTTTTCAGTTCTGGCATGACGTGAACTTAACCATGTCAAAAGCCATTTTCGAGCCACCTCAAAAAACCCATATTAAGATTTGCACTCAACCATTCAATTTCACACTGTTTAACAAAATGTTGTCACAGTACAAGCTTTAGGGAGATTCATAACCGTTTGGATGGCACAGCACAGGATAATTATAAAAATTACAACACACTGAAATTCTTTCATTTGTAACCAAGCACTATAAATGCTTCTTTGCTAGGGAGATTGAAACAAATAAATTCTGAAATTTTAGGTAACAATTTGTGCATAAACAAAATCATTCAAATATGAAATTTTGTGTTAATTATGTTTCTTTATAAACAAGCATTTTAAAAGCACATTCCACCATTAGATCTAATTGGCAGTCAACGGTTTTCTGTTGTCGAATACCTGCTCAAGGTGTTTTAGTCCATCATCATCATTGTCTTGAGGTATGCTCACGTTTGTGACAACTGTGGTCACAGATGAGGGAGATGGTGACGATTTAGAAACAGTAGCAATGGGAACAGCAGAGACAGCTGGTGTTTTCTTTTGAGGAGGTGAAGAGGCTGAGGTATTCATCTCTAAACAGAAAAAAACAGAAAAAATGATACTCCCAACTTTAAAACCCAGAACATCATTTACTTTACATGAAGCATCGACATGTCACAGCTATATTTTATAGCAGCTCATACCTTCACTAGCAGCAGGTCTACATTTCTCTGTAGCCTCAATTTTGTTATTTTTTTCTGGCTTCCTTTCTTCTTTGTTGTGTGTGCTGGGAATCACGAATATGTGAGACTGTGAAGGAGGAGGGGGTAAAGCTGTGGAAGGAACAGCTTTTGGTTCTTCAGTTCTAACTGGTTCTGTAACACAAGGGTCAATTTTACACAAAAAAATATTAATTCATCTTCAATTTTCTTACATCCTGGTGAGCTCATAGTTTCAAACAATAACATTTCCCATTCAGCAAGTAATACAGCAGTAATTTTTTTATATAAAGTTTTATCCCCTGTCCTGTAGATACACAAACTCACTTCTAGTTTACAATACTAGTAAGTTCAAGCAACAAACCTTCAAAGGACTCTCTCTTTGTCGTCTTATCAGGCTCCTTAGCTTCTTTCTCATTTTCTGAATTGGATCGCTCATCACCATCCTCCACAGGTTTAAAGTCCAATTCTTGTTCTTCTGGAATAGGCTCCTTTGGAGCTTTCTATGAAACACAAAATTTAAAACAACAGTAAGACAGGAGTAAGATTTCTTTGGACTATTCTTTAAAAAGGTCACAGTAAACTAGCCTTTTACTGCCACTGGCTAATTAAACAAGTGGCAATGTGACAAATATGCATTACTTATTAGTTGAGATATGTAACAACTTCAGCATTTCTGATACATGTGGAATTATGTTATACATACAGATTACAAAGGCATTGTACTACTGATGCAAATCCAGCTAAGTACCTTGAAGAAAATTCCTAAAATGCACCTGGCCTATTTATGAACCCAACATTTAATCCATCACAGGCCATTGTGTTCATTTTTTTTAATCAAAACAAAGGATATTAGTCTTTCCCCCCACCAAAGTTTTATATAAAACCACGTAATTAACTGCTGCTTACCAAAAAAAAATGTTTTGGTCACTTAAGCTGAAAAGGTGAATACATTTACATAGTGCCTTTCACGTTGGGAGGATATCCCAAAGTGTTAGTTAGTCTAGGGTTAGCACCATCATTTCTGAAAAGTGAAGTCTGATAGAAACTGATGCTGGCTACTATCCATTAAAATCTGGAAGAAAATCCTCTCTCACTCATACTGTAGTGTACTTCAGCTGAATGCTACGATATTGCACACATATAGCTTTGAAGACTATCTGGAATTCGCCAGTTGGGAAAACAGTAAACATTACAGAATGCTCATTCGTTATGAAGAACTTCCTAAAGAACCTGAAGGTCAATTGTTACTGGTCCCTTTCAAGTTTTCAATGAACCATGGGAATCCTTAAAGGATATTATTTCAGAAATTGCAACAGAAGACTTAAGATTAATATTGGTTCCTTCTGTGGCAATTATGGCAATTTCTTGGTGATTGTAGGTGACAAATTTTGGTTACGGTCAAGAGAAGTAACAATGCATTTACATCTGCCCAAATCCCACTGTAACTTTGGTGAGGATTTGCTATTTATGAGAATGGCTAAAAGTTTGAGATTATATTTTATGGACTATATTACTGCACTTTATCTGCTAAATGTTAAAAAATTAAATACTGACAACAAGTAAACTAACGGTGATGTTACAGGTCCTTAAGCAATGTTTAAAAGGTCAATAGAATAGAGACAAGCAATCAAGGTTTACTGGTGTTCGTAATCAAGAGACAATCTTCACTGTTAACTAAGTTATGTATCAACATGAGACACAGATTAAGTCATGTTGCAACTTGCGATAATTTCCACCACCCTTGCGCCACTGATCAAGGTGCAATTGTTTAAATTAGCTTGAATAAGATAATTTATTAATTTGTTTTTTATACAGGAATTTCAATGCAGAAATTTCCAGCACAGAAGACATGTAAATTTGTATACTGAATAGAACAGGAAGGCACTATATTGTACTTCTAAATCCACAATTTGGGTCACAAATAATTGTTGCCAACTTTATAAAAAAATAAGTTAATCACCTTAATCTTCAAGGACATAAATGCACCAGAAGAATCAAATGTTCCCGTCTCCTCTTCTGCATCCTCTAGACACCATTCTGGCAAGCTGTCCCTCTCATCCTCCAGACTGCCACTGCCAGAGGGCACTCGTCTGTACCCTCGTTCATCATCCCGATCTCGAAAATCAAACTCAAACCTTCTCCTGCGCTCCAAAACCTCCCTCCACCCTGCAGATCGAGGAGCATCTGCTAAAAAAAAATTTTTTAAGATATAGACTGAATACAGCAAATAATGGCATTTTGTGGTGATCTTGCAAAATTCTGATCGCAATGCTGGTAGCAGCAAGCGGCGATAAGAAAATATTAAAATTCCATGTATAAGTTGTACCTTCATATCTATTTTCAGGCCTTGTAAGTATATCAAACGGACCTAAGACCAATTTTAGATGGGGAACAAAAAAGTTATTGAAGTTTCAGTTTTATGAAAGATGCATCTTATTTTACAACTTGTAAAGATATACATCAGATATTTCTAATAAAAACAGCAACCACAAAAAGGACAACTTTAAATATCAAAGTTGATAAGGGGGATAAACAACTAAAAGTAGACAAATTGTGTGAATGACAGCATAGTGCAATTAATTACCAATTAAAGATAACTTAATCCAGGTGGCTGCTGTAACATTTCTACATCTTTTTGAATAATTCAAAATTTGCTTCGAATGTTCTATGTATTCTATATTTCTCTACTTGAACACACTAAAATGTTTTAAGAAAGTTATCAAAACTTCTTGATTTAAGAACACTATTATTTGATGAATCAATAAAATCCAATAAACAATTTGCACTTTGCCAATAGCAACCACACACGAGTGCCAGGAGATATCAATGCATTTATATTGTTAACTTAAATAAATGTGAAATCAATCAGCCTGGCCTAAAGCTCATGATTTTCCCTGAGCACCTCCCCACCCAATTTTTCTGCTTTCAAATCGGATTATCCACATTACTGCGTGCTCTGAGTATAATGTTTTGGCCCATTTTTCAGATGACTTCACATTGGCTCTGTATCTGAATCAGTATTAAGGATGTCATAGAAGAATCAGTAACATTATGACTTTTCTCTACTTAAGATAGCCGTCTGTGAATTCACAAACCTTTCACTTTCCAATTCAGAGCCGCATTACAATTTATGAGTGTCATTCCTTAATTAAGAGATGAGGCCACTAACCTGCATTCCTAGCATACAAAACTGCCAGTAATAACAGCTGCTGCCATACTCAGTCAAAAGGACACAAGAAGTGATGTGGGAAACAGAAAATTCTCACTGGTGAAGTAAGAGGTGTCTTAATCAAAGGTTATACAATCAAATGAGGTAGTGTATTCCATCATTCACCTCCCATCTACTCAGAATAGAATGATAAATGAGAAGCTTTTTAGCATTAGGCCAAGCAAATTATTCACAACACAAGTAGGCCAATCTGCCTATTAAGCGTGTTCAGCCATCCATTTTATTAGATCTTAGCAAATTAACTTTAATACCTGGGCTATGAGTCCGCCACCTGTCACCTTCTCGACGAGGCCCTGCTAAACGCCAACCTCCATCATCCTCCTCACCATTCTGTTCATCTCTACAGACACGCCAGTTGTCACTTTCCGAACGTATAAATTCATGTTTTCTTGTTGTTGATGTTCCCACTTCTTCAAAAGTTGGTCTCACTTGATGGAAGAGAAAAAGATTTAATTAACAACCAGACAGCTGGCAGAGATTACAGCCTTGAAACCACTTTTGTTTAAATATGTACTGAAGTGTTCATGAGCTGGTTTTAAAGTAGTTAAAATATTGGACCATTTTAAGATAATGGCAGCTATTTTGTAAGTTCAAGCTCTCCGGGATGCTGCCCCGTGTGAAGGGCACTATATAAATGCAAGTTGCTGATGTTGTTGCAGGCCTTTGTGCTTCAGAACGTTGTTACTGGAATTGGGGTGGAAAGGTGTTAGCCAATATTCTTTGATATTTTATGTTTTGCATTCTACAAGTAGATATTAAATATGTATTTTCCTACAAAATAGTCAATACACTTAACAGTAAATTCAGTGAAGCAACAGGTTTAAAATAAAATCTGATTCTCATGTGTCTTACTACTCTTTATCTGCCTGTTCAAAACAAATTACTATGTTATTCTTCAAACTATTGAAAGATTGTGCCTCCTCACGTGTCCCACAAATCAAACTAATTTCAGCTTTATAAAACTTCTTTGGAAAAAAGGTTAATCAGATTGTAACTCAAGAGTAATCTGGGTCAGTGATCCATCAAGAATGCTCGGTAGGAACTCGGCTTCCTGTCATGATGTTTTCTACTCTACTAACAAGCATATACTGTTGCTTTTAAATTAGGGCTTGGCACAAGACATCTGACATCACATGAGAAGCCAACTTAATGAGACCTTGTGATGCCTTTTACACTAAAATTTAATTGCATGAATATTTAAAGGGAAATGAAAGTCTAAACAGAGTAGTTATTTTGTTCAGCTGTCTTTACACATGCAGAAACCCATCACGGTAGTTCAGAGCAACGTTGTCGAACTAGAGGTTTCAGTGTGGCTCACAGCCACCTCAGCTTCAGCAGAAAGTATGTGTCTTAGATAATTCCTGCTGATAATTTGCTTGCAGTGTGCATGGCTATTTAAACATGTTATATGCATATACATTTTACCAACACGTATCTCTCAGGGTGGAGAGAAAAAGGAACATATTGGCAAAATCAGCTTGTCTATTAGAAGAACCATCTACCAACTTTATAATAGTAGCACAATAGCACTTGAGGCAGATAATGGAGAATGACCCAGGCCTCTATAAATAATGTTGATTACATGGCAAGATGATAAAGAACATGAAATATTAGATGTAGGTCACAAAAGGGATAGCGGAATTTTAACAGAGGCATCCGCTAAATTCCTCGACACAAATCTGTCTGAAAGCAAGTTGAAATAAATCAGAAAGTGAAATACCATGAACAGAACTTAGTAATTCTCTCTAATTGAAATCATAATTGGCCACCTGTAGGCAAAAATGACCAATCGTATTAGTTGCAAAAGGAAATAACAGATCACATTGTATATACCCCCACTTCAAAGCCATACAGCCGGATAAAGATTACCTTGTAGGACTGTACACAGAGTTATCTTCAGGGTCCATTGTGATAACACACAAACATTCAGACTCATCCCTCAAAGAACCAACTCAAGTTTAGGCTCTCAGTAAGAAGAATCCTGAAAAACCTTCGCATTGTGGTAAGTTAATACTATGAAATTAAATTATTAAGACTTAATTTTAATATTGCACTGTATGGGACGAAGTAAGAGAGATTCTGTAATTTTATTAAAAATGTCACGTTTTGAAAATAATCTAATACGAGCGTTTTCCTTTGTAAAGTATTAAAATGCAACTAAGCAGGCTTTTTGACTTGTAAAAACTTCTGTAGGCATAAGCACCAAGAATCCATTCAAATTAATTAGAAAGCTGAACTGGCTTACTATATGTCCCAAATTTCTGTTTCAATAAAGCTTTAAAAGCCATTTGGAAGATTATTTGTAGAAACTAGCTTTGAAAAAGGCTTTAACAACATCCTAGTGAAGTAGACTGTTTGTATTCTAGTTATGGATAAAAGAGGAGAAAAAAAAATCAATCAACTATCTATATCTTAATTACTCAGTATACTCTGTAGGAATTTAACAGTATAATTTTTTATGACTTAACACCAGCTGAATTCAATTATTTGATATATATAATGTGCAAGTAGGTGATCAAAATAAATTCAATAAATTTATTGAATAAAATATTGAATAAAATAAATTCAAATTCAAATGTTGCTTTCAAACTAAATCAAAGTTCAGTATTTTAGCTTATCCACATATATTCAAAGTATGGTAGTTTGGAAAATCAAATTGAGAAATAAAAATCGATCTTAGTTAACATGCATGACCTCGCAACAGAATGAATTATACATCTTACAAACAGCCCCAAAGAAATACAAACTTGTAAATAACACTTCAAAATGTGATATTCTGCTTTTAGACAATATTTTATAAGGTTAACCAGATTCTAAACCTAAAAGCTTTATGGTGTTATATAATAAACCAACAGAGAAATAATTTTATACAATCAAACAGATTTCAACTAGTTCTTCATTAGTTCAATTAAACTTAGATTGGAAGGATTTTCCAACACACCAATAAAATAAAAAGGAGGAAAACAACAAACTACAGGATTCACATTAAAAAAAATGTTGCCAAGTCCTATTTATGTGCAAAACCACAACTGCACATTTTGATTCATCAGTGATTTAAAATATAGAAATACTTTATCTAATAGTTAACAAAAACTCTTTAATTCATAAAAACCTGGTATCTCAATATTCTAAAATGGCACAATCCAAACACAATACATGAAAATAATATTTGTGATATTTGTGTATTTCTACCCAAACATTTCGATTTCGTAATTTGATTGCAGAAAATTAACATCTATATACAATGATCTTGCTATCTTGCATATGTATCAGATTGAGACTTTCTTGGAAGATTGTAATCTGAAGAATGTTCTTCAGAGAACTGAAGAAAAACAAGTCTGGAATTCTATTTTTCTATTCCTTTTACTATCTTCCCCAGCCCAAGTATCATTCGGAAAGCAGAAAGCTATCCCACTGCTCAATGGTAAGGACTGAAGGTTAAATTAACAAATCAACAAGTTAAATAAGTAATCCACCAATAAATTCCATAGCAAAAACAGGAACAGCCATTAAAAGCAGAGAAAAGCTTTAAACGAATGTGTCTTAAGAAAACAGAAACCCATAATCATATTTCAGAGTCTCCAAAAAAGACACTTCCCCATATGTATGTCACCTACAAACAGACATGCCCGTTGTCCGAAATGGAAAGCGCAATCGCCCTGGAGGAAAACACCCTGCTTATCTCATTCTGGAGCTTTAAGCAGACGTTGGTGAGAACCAAGGCTTGAGGACCTGAGTGTGCTTTGCTGCAGTTTAACCAGCTAAAAATGTATAGGTTGGGAGGAGCACTGTCTGCATCCCTGACACTGCTTGCAAGGCTAGGACCACCTAACTGTTAGGCCTTTGCCTTGCAGAGTTAACAGGAGCCAAATGGGAAGAATACCCGTATCCAGTGAACCATCGGTCTGCCTCCCCAGGCTGGCTGGTTCTCATCAGAAATGCCTTGGAGTACTGCAGATCTACCTGGCTCAGGAGCCGGTTTATCTCCAAGGAGACCCCACGTATCTCCCTCAAGAAGGATAGTAATTAGTTGATCATTAGCTATAATTGTTAATACTAGACAATATATTTCACAGCTAGCCACAGAGGGGAGTGAATAATGGGCACTACATTCAAGGACAATACACCACTTATAATTCCACAGTACAAAAGATTTTTCACGAAGGATGGACACAGCAACCTCAAGATGGAAGTTCTCTCCTGTAAAAGCCTCCTATACATTCAGGACATCTGGTCAACTCTGGTGGAAATGAGATGGCGCTGGATGTTACTGACTTTCTCGGGAGCATTTGTTGCCCACTGGCTCTTTTTTGCCTGTTTCTGGTATTTGCTGGCATACGTGAATGGTGATTTCGATGTGCCAGATCATAGTATTCCTCCTGAAAACCATACCATCTGTGTGAAATACATTGACACCTTCACAGCAGCTTTCTCCTTCTCACTGGAAACTCAGCTGACAATTGGCTATGGAACCATGTACCCTGATGGAGACTGTCCAGCTGCCATTGCGCTACTTGCTATTCAGATGCTGTTGGGTCTTATGCTGGAAGCTTTAATTACAGGTAACTATTATCCAAAGATTGCTAGAAATAACGTGGACCCAAATTTCACTATGCAATTCTGAGCGGTGTTTGGAGTCTGCAAGTATCAAATATTCTGTTTTTTTAACTGCTGCAAAATAGCAAGAATACAATATTAAAATCTCTTCTTCCTCTGCTAAACATACAACAGTATTGAGAATTGTGCAAACCAAGGATTACTTTAAAAAAGCCAATGCGGTTTTTAATTTATATATCCCTCTCATTTTCAAACTTGGCTTGAAAGCCCCATTCCTTGGCTCCCAGCTTAGCTTTGTTATATTAATGGTTGGTTATGAGACACTCACAAGTGTCTATGTAAATAACACAAGAGTGGAGCGTATACAGTCACTGCCATCAGTTTCAGCATTTACGAATGCTCCGCGATGCGCTGGCGTGAAGGGCGCTATATAAATGCAAGTTGTTGTTAATGGGATCTAGTATTTATTGCAAATGTTCACATCTTTCTTCCAAAATCTTACTTATAATAATTTATATTTTCAGGTGCTTTTGTGGCAAAGATTGCTAGACCAAAGCTAAGAGCAACTGCAATTAAATTCACTTACTTTGCCACTGTGGGACATCATGAAGGAAAACCATGCCTGATGTTCAGAGTAGCCAACATACGCCAAAGTCCATTAATTGATGTTAAAATTACTGCAATTCTCTACCAAGAGTACAAAAGCCAACATCTTCACCAGACCAGTGTTGACTTCCGCACTGACCATTTAAGTTCGAACGAATGCCCATACTTTGTCTTTCCACTCATGTTTTATCATACGATTGATCAACGCAGCCCTCTTTATCCACTGATTCAGGGAAAGGTGCGATCGCACTTTGAGATCGTCATCTTTCTGTCAGCAAAACAAGAAGGTACAGGAGAGACTTGCCAGAAACGAACCTCGTATATTCCCGAGGAAATTAAGTTCAGTCAACAGTTTGCCTCCGTGATGAGCCATAATTCCAAAGGGTACTACAAGATTGTCATGGATAACTTTGACAAGACGGTTTCAGAATTTTGTGCAGTGTCCAGTCCCAAAGATGTGCAGCGGTATGACTTCATCAGCATTAACGGTGATCCTGTTGATTCTATCATTTTCCGAGATAGTGCTGTATGAATACCTTTAAGACTGCTTCAAAAGATAAGCGGTCAGCTGGAATACTAATACCAATTTACTGCCATTGCTAGAAATGCCATTACTTTATTACCAGAAATATGTGTACGGTTTGATATTAACACTGCACGTATTTACAGCTTCAAAACTAATACTCACGTTACACCTAGATTTTCAAAATACACAAAAATTCAATTCTATAATTTTTCCAATCAATAATTCTATAGTAAGAGAACTTTTCTTGAAATGAACTGAGTTTTACTGCACAATGACTCAAAACATGTTATCATTCCAGATTTGAAATGCCCTGCCTGAACTAATATTTATACATTCAAAGCTATTTAAAGAACACAAATTAAATCAATGCGTAAACTGGGTGGACAGTCCTTTAATTTCTATGTCTGCTCTCAAATCCCAGTCAGATTTATGGCTTTAAGGATCATAAGTGAAATTCATTTTCCCAATAAATGGCGCCTTCACCCCCACTGGGTTAAACTACTCCAAGGAAGCAAAGCTTTACAAAAGAATACCCAATAATGCAACAGTTCCTTTTCATTCTAGATCGATGAATCCAAAGCTCCTATTGTGTTATTACAAGTTATTGATTTTGTACAAATGTGAGGCCAGTGTTACAGAGATAATAGTGTAATGTAATGCAGTGCTTTTATCACTGTGTTTTCAAACATCCTCATCAATGTTTAAAACAAAAATGTCTCGTCAATTTTCAGTCTGTGTTCGCGCGCGCGTGAGGAAGCTTGGAATGAAGTACTATAAGGGGAATTCTGATGTTGGAATCCAATTTTTTTTTACATCTAGCCCATATTCTACTGGTCTAAGCTTCCTCAATGCTGACACTCGGTGAAGTAAAAAGTTCATTCCGTGCCCCAACACCATTATCCTTCACCTTGAGCGTACAAATGAAATCAAAATGTTTATAAATACGATACTTTGTGAAACTTAAGTTGTAAATATGCCAACATGAGCTGAAACAAGAACGTCCTAAAACAAGCATCAGAGACAGAGCACTGAGAAACCTATAGATTTCCCAACAGACGATCTTTCTCTACAGCAAATCAGGAAAGAAACAAATTGCCATTTTGAGAAGAATGGTGAACGATTTTTGAAACCTGCATCAATCAAACCTCTTCCACTTATGGTCCTTATTCCACTTATTGGTGTTTCATGTAACAAGCGTATGTTTATAACCAAAAGTAGTAAATAGTGCATTAAAACAAAAGTTAGTTACATTAAGAATTTTAAAAAAGTACTTTGATGTGTTTAACCAAGGTCATAAGGATATAAAAAAAATTAAGACAGAATATCTTTGTGTATTCTATTTATTAAATGTGTTTTGACAATATTTTAGACTACCTTCTTCATCCATATTGTGTGTGTATCAAATTTCTTAAATGTTAAAAGCAAAGACTTCGAGGAAACCAGAAGAAGAAAAAAAACACAGGTGCAGAAACAGGTACAGCTCAACACTATCTAGAACAACTGTTGTGAACATTACTTGGCCTCATTTAGCAAATCTCAAATTTTATACACATGTAAAGAGATGATGACCATCTGAATCATTTGTCCATCATTAACTACATACAATAGTGCTTTTGCAACATCTATAAATTTTCCAACCACAGTTACAAAAGCTATTAATAAGAACTCTAGAATGTTAAACTAGTGAAGGACCTTTCGGGTAATATTTCACTCCCATCATTTTTGAACGGGGCTATCATATCTAAATTACTAGAGTCAAGAGGCACAATGTGCATTTTAGTACACAGAGGAGGGTGGCTATGAGAAATAAGCAGATAATAAAATTAATACACTTAGCAGAAAAGCTAGAATTAGATCCTACTTCTAGTTTGTCAAAGTGTAATGTTTCTTTCAATCTCCCCATTGCTGCTCACAAAAACGACAATGTTAAAGATACCAATAAACCGTAAAACTGAATATTCCAAGTCTCAGTCAAAAATCTAACACAATGCTATCAAAAATCCTCTGAATTTTTTTTGAGAATTTATCAAAATGTAAGAGCAAATATACTTAAAAAATTTATTGTAATATCAAATTTTGTTAAATTAGGTTTTCAAAATTGCAAAATATCCTTTTAGGACCTGTAACATACATGTGGTTAGTCTTAGATATTTGTTTTCACAATGTGAACTTTTGCACTTCAATATGGAAAGTTGCTTTCTTTAATGATCACAAATTCAGCCTCTGCCGAATGAAATTACTTCCAAGTTTGAATTTAAAATCCAATAGATTAAATTTAGTCACAGCGCTTATGACATCAATGTTAGGGATAGTTTCCAACTTGTGCTAATATCAAACTGAACCAATAATTTGCCAAGAAAATGTATTTGAAACATCATTTTATTATTGCGTCATATTAAAGTTGCACAAATTCTAAAACAAATATTCAAGTGTTTTTTTAACATGACAAACCAATGGTTTCTACCATACCTGGTTTTGTAAGGAATCCAGAGGTTGAAGAGAGGAAGTCATTTTGAGTGCACAGGCTGGGATGTTGGTCCTTAACATGACTTGAACCTGAAGTAACAGATATACTGAATTCAACCAGTTGCTCTTCAGAAAAAAATCAGGTTAGGAAATGTGGATAGCTCAAAGCATAAAATAGTATTCAGTGCATAATTAAGAAACTCCTGAAATTGGTGAGAAATTTGATGTATACGTACACCTGTTCACAAACAAGTGAATGATATCACAGCAGTCCTCCTTCACCGATTCCCAAAGAGATGGAAAAGGGGCAAAGAGAATTAATAGGGCTTATTCTGATCAACAATTCAAATATTCTCCTGAAGAATGTCTGGTTAGCAGTCCATTTATCATAGTCTGAGTGCAATTTTACACATTTTGGGTGCCACTCTCTTCACTATTTCTTCATTTACCCATTGACACAGCAGTCATCCTTGAAGCAATTTGAGAATAAGCATCAATTAATTTGAATTAGTTAGTATGGACCAGAAACTTGGTTGAAATTGCTCCAAAATGGCGTAGTCTAAGATATTTAGAGAAAGGAAACTACACTTCAAGCTAGGTCGAGAGGTGTAACAAAATGTTTTACCCCCAAAAAGCCACATTGTCCTTAGTGTATTACTCCAAAATGTAAAAGCAGGATTATAGCCAGCTTAGCAAGATCAGGTCATTCTGCCACTTCTTTCCTTTAAAGAGCTATTTAACTTCACAAGAATTACTAAGAATGATTTTCAAATATTATACTGACCTGGATCTTTTCGCCCTGGTTTTTCAAACCGCCGTTCTCCCCTGTTAAAAGTAAAAAACATTAGGTTTCCTCCTTGTTACAATCCAAAGGGGAAGTACAATAAGATTCAATATAAACAGCTTAAAGAATCTGAAACTATTCCAAGAAGATACAAATGCATACAAAATACTTCAATTAGAAAGTATCTTTAAATATCTAAACTTTTATGGTGCAGACTAACTTTCTAGAATGTATGAATATTTCACCTTTGTGCAGTTTGTCAAGGTGCCTAAAAGAATACTCCCCTCCCACAAAAAAACTTATGAAGTTAAAAGGGAGGTATGGTTGAAGAAGTCCCTTTGGATCATTGATCTCAATCTTCCAGAATACCCAAATTAAATCTTCCCATACTACATCAAGCAATTTATTAAATGAGTCCAAAGACCATGGCTCTACCACCCCTCCTGATTAAGTAATTCGAATTATTAATATTTAATCCTCTGTGCGGACAGACAATCTCATTTACCACTGACTGTATTTTATTCGAATGCCATTTATTTGAAAGCCACTGCCATTCAATGTCATTTTTTCCACTGCAAATCTCATTGTAACCTCTTGTGGGTAAATACAAAAGATAGCAGAAAATAGATGTCAATTTGTAATTTCTTTGAAAAACTAAAATATGCTCAAAAGTACACATCAATCAGTATTCTCTTAAACTGCACACATTGGGGTCTCAATGCCACACTCATCCAGACACTCACCTTTCTTCCCAGCTTTGTGATCGATGCATTTCTCGACTCCCTCGCCCAAATCCCACTTCTCCTTCATCAAAACTTCTTTGGTAAAAACCCCCTTCACCACGCCCTCGACCTGGAACACGGGGTTGGGAGAAAGAAAGAAAGAGTGATAAGAATATCATAAACAGTAATTGCACACAGGCCAGTTTTATATCAATTTGAAACTTGTATTAGATGATTAGTCCCAGATTAGTACAAATTTAAGTTACATTCGTTCTCCAAAAATATATATGTTATACTTGTACTGACTTTTTAAACCTCATGTATATTTCCAAAGCGTAATCCACACAATTCAAATGCCACCCAGTGGCAGCAAATCAGTACTGCCCAATTTACCTGGTACAGTGCATATGTAATTGCAGTTAAAGGCAAAAAGCAATATTCTAGTAACAATGCAGGTCAACACTTTCATTTGGAATTATTAGCAGATCATCCATATAATTATGTATCCAGCCAAATAAGTTTGTAAAAGAACACACTGTGCTAAAATAGAAGAACTCGTCAGAGGAAAAAGATCAATGTCATACCAATATCCGACACTCCAGAATGTTTAAGGTAAATCCTGTAGAGTGCAATACTACGAACCAGGTGCCTGCTCATTGCTCTGCTTGACTCAATTTAAAATAGTCCAGGACAGGTTATTTCCTCCTACATTTTGAACAATTTCCATATTCTATACAACAGCAGAATGTATGCATTAATAATAATCCTTGCATTTGATACAGTTCCTTATCGCATCTTTGAGGCGTCTCAAAGCGCTTCAAAGGATATACTGTAAAGTGAATTGACTGTATATTTTGTGGGCGAAATGCAGCAGCCAATTGCACACAGCAGTGTCCCACAAACAGTCGTGGATTGAAATAAACAATTTTTTAAAAAAAGAATTATTATACCCGGAAAAAGCAATCCGCCAATCGACTAACAACCAGGTTCCTACTTACTGCTAGGTAAACAGAGGCGCCTGGAAGAAGGAAACTTGCCCAGCATTTTGCCCTGCCGGGAATTAAACTCAGGTCGCTCGTTTGCAATGCTCTAACCACTGAGCTACATGACTCCAATGGCCTCATATGCTGCATAAGAACCATACAGTCATCCAGCAGAAAAAAAACCACACTTCGATGCTGATACTTTAAATTTTAATGGAGTATATGAAACATAGATTAGTGATGTTTTTGTTCAACTAATGTTCCATGAATGAGATATCTATCAACTGATTTCCACTCAATTATGGGACATTAATTCTTGTGCTTACCTCGACCTCTTGAGGAACTTCTACCTCTTGGTGCCCCTGCCACTGTTCCTCCACCTCGTCCCATTAAACGTAGCACTGCTAGACTGTTTACAGACATGGAAAAATTTCGCTGGTGGGTTTAAAAACAAAATGAGAATAAACCACCTGAAAGCTCAGTAAAATCACACAAAAAACAATTTAGATTTAAGTAGTGCCTTTCATGTTGGGAAGCACTTCAAACAGCTGACTGGGAGCCCAATCTTAATAATAATAATCCTTGCATTTGATATAGCGCTTTTCACGTCGGGAGGACGTCCCAAAGCGCTTCACAGAACACACTGTAAAGTGAATTGACTGTATATTTGTGGGCGAACGCGGCAGCCAATTGCGCACAGCAATGTCCCACAAACAGTCGTAGATTGAAAATGACCAATTTTTTTTATTATTGTTTTTGGTTTTTGGAGGGATTATTATTAGGCGTGTGGAGTAAGGAAACTTGTCCAAGGTTTCGCCCTGACCTGCCTGGAATTGAACTCAGGTCTCTCACTTGCAAAGCGAGTGCTCTAACCACTGAGCTACAGGACTCCACAATCTTGGGAGGGGGGGGGGGGGAGAAATAGAGAGAAAGGTGACCTAAAGGTGGAGTGTATTGAGCGGGGGACTTGATGCAAGTTTATTTTAAACCAGCAATTACTAGCCATGTGGGTTTTGGACAAATGTATATCAATTCTAAATAGCAAAATTAGCTGTGGTCCACGGTCAAATGGAGTCCAGATAATCAATGCCTGGGCTCAAACACGAAGAGTAGCTACTTGGACCAATTAACGGGGACCAGTGGAACCATTCCCCCAACAAGGATTTCAGTAGGGTACAGAAAATTGGGGAGGGAATTAAAATCATAAATGTCAAAAACCTTCACCAGCCCTAAAAGGTTCAGCTACTGAAAACATTTAGTCTCATGTGCCTGAAACTATCTCCCCTGACTTTACTTAACTTTGAAAATAGAAGCAATCAGCTGCAACATTTAACTGAATATACCCCTAACAAGCAAAATACAGAAATTAAAATGTCCTCCTAAAGAATCAGTGGGCAGCTGCTACACAAGTAAAATCTTGCTGTTCCTTTACTCAAGTAGGTAACTAATTTGCTCACTATGACTCCAAGACGCAGTCACCTACTTGCTCTTCTTCTGTAAAAGGTACAAGTGCTAAAGGTGGCAGGGGCTCCTCTTGTAAAATAGGCAGAAACTCCTTATCACTTAGGTCTACGGGGATCTAAATTGCAAAGGAGAAGAGTTAAAACGATAATATAGTTATAGTAAACCTGATACAGTAAAAAAATGAAGTTCCATTGTGAGTTCTTAACAAACATTTACCATGCTCTGTGTACAGTGAATAACTTCAGACTAAAATATGTAACAATCCTATTGGAGTGCATGACCCATCTTAAAAAGTGAGTATAATCCAATTTCTTAAAATTCAAATAGTACAGGATTTCTGCAAAATGCACAATGCTAAAGTCCTATTCAATTATAGTTTGTAATTTATGTTAGTTCTATAGATAAAAACCTGGAGGATAAAGATGTCAATATTAACCTTTTGTACAATAAAATCCATGTTTAAATAACTCACTGACATTTTTGGAGCAAAAATTTCAGGTAAAATTACAGTCTTGGTATTCCAAAGTTGATTGAAACAGATACCTTTATTGTCATATAATAGTTTTAAACTGTAATCACCAACACAAAACTAACTAGGCTGAGCTAACACATACCTTGAGATCCTTTACATAAAGTGCTAGCATTTCTTCTCTTCCATAACGGTAATCTGCTAATTTATACTTTGGAAATGCTGGTGAGAGTGGAGGGGAGGTTATGCTCCCACCACTTGACAATGCGCGAAGCCTGCAAATAAAAAGGAGATATTGACCAACCTGTTGCATCCTTTGTTTTAACGTTTAACACAACAGAGGGTTTATGTCACCTTCAAACAATGAAGATCAAGTGAAATTAATTTTCACCCATGAACATGCCATTACGATCACTGAATATTTTCTACCATTAAGCAGTCTTTCCCCAAGGCTGAGACTAATAAACACCGTAGGAACTATCAGCAGTTATTAGATTCAGAAGAAGATGGAAATGTGAGCACAACTATTCAGAAGGAAAAAGTCCTTACCACTCAGGTCCAAAGTTAAGTGTCTGGGTTTCTGCTGCCATTTTATTTCTCCTGTTTTCTCAAGTACTGTTGAAATAAAAATATTGATGAGAAATTTAATACAATTTTACAGAGATACAAGATGCAGTGATAAACTGGCTTAGGAAAAACTTCACAAGACACTCAGTCAGTTAATAATGTAATCAGTGGTTTAATAGAAAATGGTTTGTCATAGACGTTCATTTTTAAACATACTGCATACTACATCTTTCATGAAATGAGTAGATTTACAATAAAGGACTGTCGAGGACCTTTTAATGCTTAGAAAAAAATATCACTATCCAACAATTTCCCACACCATCAACCTGACATTTTAGTTTAGGTGGTGGCTCTCAGACACAATCAGCTAACGTCAGTCGTACACAATCAAATGCAAAGAATAAAGGATAGGTTTTATTGAACCACACCTTCTCCAGCCTGCTTCATGTCCCATCTGACCAGTAGGCGAGCCTTCAGCTACTTTGCACCATTTCTCTAACTCTCCCTTAAAATCTCTTCGACTTACTCCTTCCCTCTAGTGTGTATTACACTAGGAAAACATATGCAATTTAAACTACTTCCCTTTCAAGCATGTTTCCACTAATATTGTATTGCAAGTGTTCAAATCTAAGAATTTATTTTAGTTCAATTACATTACAAATTATACTTTCCAGGACTAATTTGCTTTGGTTGATTTGGACTAAAAGAAATTTCAAAACTATTTATTTCCAACCCAAAAAATGAAGCAAAGCTAAAGCTTGGACTCAGACAGAAACAGTAAATTTTGTTTAAGTTTAGACAGCCAACCTGGGATAAGTACGTAATACATACTGAAATCCTCGGTTCCTCGTAATCAATTCTCCTCTGGATTTAAAGTTTAAAAATGTTGCAGTAAGCAATCATCCTCACATGACTCCCCATTTAAATACTGCAATTAGCATTACATAGCAGAGCAGAAGTATTCGTCATTAAATTGTTCCACTGTTCAAGAGTCACTTAAAAGGAATGTCAATTCAATGGCATAGATGAAGGGATCTATTCCCCAGCCTCACTTTCTTCATGTCTCACCTGAGAGGCGAGCCTTCAGCCACTTTGCCCCATTTCTCTAACACTCTCTCAAAATCTCTCCGCCTTGCTCATTGTCTCTCAATTTTCAAATCCCACTTGAAGACTCCCCTTTGATTGTACTTTCGGCCACCTTCCCACCCCATCCAAACTCACACTCCTGCTCAGCCTTTGTAAAGTGATTTGGCATAAAGTAAGTCTACAAGTAAAAAAACAAATTCTATTTCTTAGCACCTGATGAATACGAAACAAGTTATCTTTCACGTCAACACAAATCCTCATCAAATGTATAAATTTGAGAAAAAAGATTTTTCAAAACTAAATATTTATCGGTGCATATTAACAGTTATATCTGTGACATTTATAAAGCTATGAATGAAATGTTTATGGTATTGATGGGAATGAAAAGATAGAACACTTTGCTGGGATATTACATAATGGTGACATTATCTAGTCCAATTTACTGTGACCAAGTTTTGTTAAAAGATTATAATTTTATGTTGAGAGCAATTTGTACAACGGATAGAATTAAGAATATTAAATTAGAATTTTACACTTGAATGTGGAGCACATTTATATGGATAGATGACAACTTCTACTGGTGGTTCAGCATACAACCAACCACCTTGCTGCTCTGGGCAATTTCTTTGATATTTTGCTTCACAGAATTAACGTCTCAAGAGCATATTTTTATGAATCAGATCAAATCTATGTCACTTGATCTGCCTGGACCATCATCAACAATAACTTGAATTATATAGCTCCTTCACATAGTGCAGTGTCCAAGCAATGAACAATGGTGCAGTTTGTTGCTGTGCCAGGGAGAAAGGGGAGGTGACTATTGAAGAAGAAAGTCTGTCAGGTGTAAACTGAAAACAGTTAAGGAAGGCAGAGATTTGGGGCATCGTGACTGAGCAAATGAGGTGAGTAGAGGAGCGGTTAATAGTTCAGTCCTGGAATTGAGTGAAAAATGTTTCACTAAAAAAACATTCTCTCTCTTGTTCGGTCCCTCTCTCTCTTCACTCCCACCTCCCACCCGCACCCAAAAAGTATTTGATTGCCAATTGCGTTTACAAGTTTGAATTTAGATGTGTATAACCTATAAAACAGCCTTCAATGACAAATAGTGCTAAGCATTTAAAAAAATATTAGCCATAAGATATAAACCTATAAAATGTTTTGTTGGGGGTAGGATCATAGAATTTATCTTGCTCTAGTTATGAAATAAAACCTGTTGGAAAAAGTTCTACTGTACTATGCAAGCAATGACAGTTTGAAAAACACTTAATTTTTCTCCTTGTTACTAGATGGCTAGTGCTGCTGTAGCAGTAATCTCCACTTTTGATTGATAGCTTTTATTTGGAAATTTAAATTTGAATATTTACACTGTAGTTCATTTAATCTCTTACATTGTATTGCTGGAATTTCTATGGCAATAGAGGGCAAAAGATCCAACACCAGACAAAGATCCAACACTTGAAAAATAAACCATGTCCAGATTATCTCAAAGTCATTAATACAATTAAAATGATTCTATTTTCCATTTATATAAAACTCATGACAATATAATCCTGATGCAAGATTATGAACATTCCCAATTATGCTGCACAATTGCTCAGCACACATACAGAATCAGTTCCAGCAGATCATTCATCCACCTCACAAAAGAATTTCAGGGCTCAAATGTAAATCAACAGACTCTTTGAAATCAGAAACTAATTATATAAATCCATCAGATTTTTTTTTAAATGTAGATATATATTTTAATAATAATAATAATTATTATTATTATATATTTATTATATTTATTTATTATATTTATTATAATTATTATTATATATTTTAAAAGCCAAATGGGCTTACAAGAGCTTTTTTAAACCAGTTGACACTTATCAATTTTATATTTGTAGTTTACCACTAACTGTACCTTCAAAGTTGGCAGAAAACTGAATGCAAAGTGGCACTTAGCACGCATCACCAAATTGGCTTGTTTCAATGCACACCTGGACAAGACTGTAAATGGCTATCCAATGGGCTCAAGTATATGGATCCACTAAACAGTTAACTCAGTATTATGGTTGGTCCCAGACCACTACTGTTGAAAGATCTACTTCCTATACACAACAACAACTTGCATTTATATAGCGCCCTTCATGTGGGGTAGCGTCCCGGAGGGCTTGTAAACTCACAGGAAGAGATTCCATTACTTTTGTTTTCTAAGCACCTTCTGGCATAGTCCATACAGTACTTGTGCAGACTGGCAAATGTCCCACAGGTATTTTGTCCACATGTCTGCTTGGGGGAATGTCAGATTGTATCACAAATGCTTCTCACAGCAAGAAACAAAAATGGACCAGTATGTAGGGTCTCTGGCAGCAAACCAAATACGCATGTGGCTAGGTTTAAACAGTGCCAAAAAAAGCTTCCCACCTGTCAGTGAGAAGTACCACCAAAATGCATCAAAATATTCAAGACTCTCATTACACATATCTGTAAAGCCTGGCTTGCAACACATACATTTTATATCTCAACTTATAAATGCATATGACACTAGCACAACTCAACTAATTAAAATGCATATCTGATATGATCAAACTCACATTGAGATTAAGATTTAAGTGCAACATAGTAGTTAAAGCAGAATACAGTAGTATTTGACTGAACACATTTTACACAGTTATAGACAATTATCTAACTTATTATCGAAGTTATCATTCAAGCACTCTGGGACGTTACACCATGTGAAGGGCGCTATATAAATGCAAGCTACTGTTGTTGTCTAAGTCTCCTAATCTACAGACTGCTTTCCCAGTTTTCATATGCACGCACATCAGGGCCTTATCCGGAATTCCCTTCTGGGAATCTGGCACCCATTCCACAATTAGAGCTTAAGATCACTCACTTCACTGCCAGTTCTTGCTTTATTCCAGATCATGGGCATCAGCTGGTTTGGTTGGCAAAAAGTATGCAGATAACTTCCAAAGTTGTTTAAACTGTTGTTCTTGTGGGGTGAGGAAAATGAGCTGTGGGTCTTTTATGTCTATACCCACCAACAATAAAATTGGTCACCCACCCCATGGCTGTTTGTGGGACATTGCTGTGTGCAACTGGCTGCTGCGTTTCGCCAACAAAAAACACAGTCACTGCAATATATAGTCACTTTACAGTACATCCTTGTGAGGCTCTTTGGGGAGATGTCTCGACAACAAGTTAAACTCATGTTAATGGGGAAGTGAATTTTATCAAAAGACTTATTGCTCAGAATGTCTAAATCACCTTCCAATAATGTGCTGTGCACTATAAAAACATAAATTTGAGGCAACATAGCAGCAGATATTTTGTGTAGACATTCCAGTTGTGACATTGCAATGTTCCAATCTAGTGACATCATAAATAAGGAGAAAGCCATATACAACCCCAAATCGTTCTTGTTCAGTTTGAATTGGACTTCTAGGCTGCCTTCAAAGTGAAAACCAGACTTGTGAACCATATGGATCTAAGTTACAATTCAATGAATTCAACCACATCCTTAATTTACATTTTTATGACATAACCTAAAAATGGAACCCAGTAGGCAGGCTAAAGTAATCGACGGGTAAAAACTAATGGCAGTTTTCAACAAAATAATATCGTCTCAATATGGTAGTATTCAATTTGATGACCAATAATTACAAAGCATACCTGATAAATGATTAAATCCGCAATGCCACTGACATTTACTACAACATGGTAAAATTAAGAGTATTATAGTATTCAACTGCAAACATATTTTCCACATTTTTGTACAATTATCTGAGTGAAGTATATAACATCAACAATAGAAACATGTATTTGATTACTGGGAAATTTTATATCCTTCAGATCACAATTTGGTCACCAGGATATACCACATAACCAATCAAAAGGCAGGGAATATTGTGTTTATTAAAATAAAACTCCACACACAACTAAATTAGTTTGAAGCATTTCAGACGTACCTTGAGAAAATGCTGAGCCTGACATTTACCACTCGTTTACAGCTAAGCTGGTGCAAAATGGATTACAAACTCGTGTAACCATATGGAGCAGAGTGTATGTCGTATAAACAATGAGACTTGAAAATCCTAATTATTTCCAAAGTGACAACGGGTGGAGTTGAGAGAACTGCGCGCACCTTCGTTCAAACTATGCAAATTTGTCGAGAACTTTTATTTTTAGCAAAACCAGATAAAGACTACGGTCGTAATTATACTTTTTTTTTGGGGGGGGGGGGGGGAGTTCAGACCCTCCGAAATCCAACACGAAATGCAATTATGGGTACCTGGAGATCTGAGCTGAAAGACCCTGGACATGCATCATACTTGCACCCGTTTCCCTCACATTCCACATGGCAACAGAAGCCATCACCATAACACCGGGGCTTGAGGGTGGGTGGGGGTGGGGGGAGGGGGAGGGGGGGGGGGTTTTGAAAAAAAAATCTAGTAATAACTCCTCTTAAACACGAGCGATCGTTTCAAAACTCCTGCCGAAAAGCACTGCCCAAGGGCAGGCAGGTAAAGCTGTCAGGACCTTACAAAGGCGGCAGCGCGCGTGCACCTGCGAACCCAAATGCGCTTTTTTGCACCTTCCCTTCGTGCGAACGGACGGACGGACGGACGAAGTTTCAGGAAGTAATATCTCCTCCCGACCCTCAGCCCCCGGCGGCGGAATCGGGACCGAAATCCACCGAGTGTCACCTTTAAACTTTTTTGCCACGTTACAAGGGTGAACCTCGCAAACGGCACCCGCTTGACACCCGATCAATCACCCACACCCCCGCCCCCCCCGGTGCTAAAGAGAGTGGTGGCTTTGAGTGATGACTCATCCCAAAGCCCCTACACAACCTGCTCTCTCTCTCTCTCTCTCTCTCTCTGGCCCAGGAAAACACACTCGCCGCCCGCCCCGATGTCTCAAAAAGAGGCCGCTTCCGATTGGGCCCCCGGTGGGGACTGAACGCCCCGCGCGGCTGTGTTCGGGCCCGGGCTCGCTAAATAGAGGCCGAGGCTCCGAGGCCTGGTTGGGTTGGCCGCCCGCCCGCCCGCGGGGCACGGGCTGGGCCACGCGGGCGGGCGGGCGTTATTGATACTCGCATCTCTCCTTTCACACACTCTCTCTTCTCTGTCTCTCTCTCTCTTTTCCTTCCCTCCCACCGAACGACAAGAAGCACCAGAGCCCTCGGACGAGGAGACAGAGAGAGAGAGAGTGTGAGAGAGAGAGAGAGAGAGGAGGTCGGTGTCATCGCTGCCGTGTCAGTGTCCTCGAGCGTCTCTCTCTCTCTCCCTCCCTCACTCACTCCCTCCTTCCCTTTCCCCCCCCTCCCTCCCCTCCTCTTTCCTCCGGGTCCCTCTTACCCGAGGTAACCGCGCGGACACGACGGGGACACGACACGATACGATACGGACACGACAGTCGCGACACGACGGGTTTTTTTTTGTCACGGGCCGCACACACTCTGCACACTCTCCCCCACAGCGCTCCAGCCACAAACAAGATGGCGGCGATCATACCCCGTCACGTGACCCGCGCGCGGGTCAGCCCCGGCCCCCAACGTCCCCGGATGGAGGGTGGTGGGGGGGGGGGGCGGCGCCAGAGCGCCCACTGCGCATGCGCCCCTCTCTCTCTCTCTCCCCCCCCCCCTCCTCCATTGCAAAAATATATATATATATGCACACATATAATAATAATAATAATAATAACAATCCTTGCATTTGATATAGCGCTCTTCACGTCGGGAGGACGTCCCGAAGCGCTTCACAGAACACACTGTAAAGTGAATTGACTGTATATTTGTGGGCGAACGCGGCAGCCAATTGCGCACAGCAATGTCCCACAAACAGTCGTGGATTGAAAATGACCAATTTATTATTGTTTTTGGTTTTGGAGGGATTATTATTAGGCTCTGTGTGGAGTAAGGAAACTTGCCCAAGGTTTCGCCCTGACTGCTGGTGATTGAACTCGGGTCTCTCGCTTGCAAAGCGAGTGCTCTAACCACTGAGCTACAGGACTCCACATGCACAAATAATAAATAAAGTACGCGGTCGATTTCGCTTCTCGGCAGCGTGTTTGCTTGGTCTCGAAGACGCCGTACGGCGCTGCATCGAGCGCCGAGGGGGATTGCGCGCGTCAGATTCGTTGAGGGTGAATCCTGATTCGACGCACGACGGCGGTTCGGCTCCCCGCGGCGGAAGGAGCGCGCCGAAGGGTTTCACGCGATGCGCCGGAAAAGCGCACTGACCGCGTGTGTAGTTCGCCCGCACAAATATACAGTCAATTCCCTTTGCGGTACATTCTGTGAAGCACGTTGAGATGCACCAAAGAGATGATCAGGTGCCGTATCCAATGCAAGGATTATTATTATTATTTTGTAGGCAAATGAGGCACTGTCCCACAAACAGAATGACTCATTTTATTTGAGCGACGTTTGGCCAGGATCCAGGGAGAAACTCCCTTCTCTTTTTGCAAATCCATGCAATGAAACACGATGCATCGCAAAAATTTATAGGTGATATCCTTGATCTTATTGAATTTTAGTTCTGTGCAGAGCCACTGTTACGGGGACAGATAAGTAATGCAAGTAGGATGAAAGAAAGCATTCAAGATCTGGAACTGTAAATCTACTTTTTGGATAAAATAGCAATTGATGGATTGGACAAAACATAATATGAACAGAACTATCTCAAATTGTGTACCCCCAACCCACACCAACTACTAGCTGGGTGGGTTATACTAATATGTCAAAACACCAATAATCTACTCTAAATCTCAAACTGTAATAATAATAATAATAATCCTTGCATTTGATATAGCGCTTTTCACGTCGGGAGGACGTCCCAAAGCGCTTCACAGAACACACTGTAAAGTGAATTGACTGTATATTTGTGGGCGAACGCGGCAGCCAATTGCGCACAGCAATGTCCCACAAACAGTCGTAGATTGAAAATGACCAATTTATTATTGTTTTTTTGGTTTTGGAGGGATTATTATTAGGCTCTGTGTGGAGTAAGGAAACTTGCCCAAGGTTTCGCCCTCTGCCTGGAATTGAACTCGGGTCTCCCGCTTGCAAAGCGAGTGCTCTAACCACTGAGCTACAGGACTCCACAAATTCGATTTTATAACACTCCTAATCAGGTAGTATCCATTGGCTACTGAGGACTTCTTGCGAGAAAAGAGAATGCAAATCAATGAAAAGTATATGTGTTGGAAACAGGAATTGGTGTGAATATTGATCATTTATTGAAGGTTTCCAGTCAATGTGAAACTGTTGCAACAAAATCTATCATATATGGATTGTATTTTGAGGGCAATTAACTACAAGTCCAAATACAATATTCCAACGTTTCATTAGATCATTGTTTGGGCTATATTTGGAATATTATGTGCAGTTTTCAGCCACCTGAGGTTTTGAAGCATTGGTAACTAGTAAGAGAAGAGCTGCAAGTATGATGCTAGGACATAGAGCTCTAAATTATAAGGTAAACTTGTTTTCATTGGAAAAAGATAGATCCAAGCAAAATTATGGGAGAGATGTAAGCTAGCTATTTGACCTCGACGGTGAGAACAGAATTAGAGGGCATAGGTTGGCGAACAGAGCCAAGGTTAGATGATTACAAACAGTAAGACTGTTATGAATAAACATCAGAGAGATTACAAACCACTAAAACATAATTGCAAAAAAAAAGTCAAGTTGGAATAACTTGGAAAATCAGCAAATGTAATGCAATTGTAAACAAAATTTTCACAATAGAAGCAGACCCACAAATCGTGCTGTGCATGTTTCTATTTGTACAGTCTCAGCACAATTTGTTAAAATCTGTTCATTTCTGAAATCACCGCAGGATACACTAGTAGTTCATCAACAGGATGAATGCCACATTGTTTAGCAGCTGGCAGGGATAGTATTGCAATCTAAGATAAACTGGCAACAGTTTCCAGGTAATTACGAAGGGTTGCATCTCACCCTCTGTGCGGCTGATCATTCCTGGCTTGGGTTTAACTTGTCCTGAGGAACTACTGAAAGTGTATGAATGGATTGAATGCTTCCGTCCTGTCAGATAAGTAAATCTAACGCGGGCATTTTCGCACTCAGATCCAACAATTTGGTTCAGAAACAGGAAAATGAATTGTCATAATTTGCAACCTGTAAATAAGCAGACAAACCTCAAGCTAAAATGTTGACTATTTTGGTGCTGTTAATGTTGGAGCACTTGCAAATTAATGTTGTAAAATTTACGCGTTCGACACAACTCTTAAGTTTCCCAACCATACCTGTGGAAACATTATTCTGCATCCCATCAGAGGTTGATATAATTATTCTGTTCTTTGTGTAGTTATACTGATGACGCTAGCTCTCTTCACTCCAAATTGTTGAACTGCTAAAAACAATTCAATTTTTTTCCTCGAAAATACATCTCATCAGCAGAAATATCCAACAAATCGTGACTTTGATTCACTCTAAATGCAGCTGGTGCCAGATTGGCACCGACTTTGGTTCTGTCTAGCCATTCCCTGTTCTAGAATGGAATAGTGTAGCACATTTGGTGGGTGTGAGATGAGGAACATTAGTTTACAGAGCAAAAATGTGCTGCATTCAAAATGCTTTGTCGTCTTGTGTCACAGCTGCTGAACGTGTATGTTGGTAAAATGTGTAGTGACATTGTTGAAACATTTACCCACAGAACAGCTGTTTCACATTTTAGACATATCCTTTCTGCATGATAAACTGTTGGTAGCTACGAAAGCTGTCTCACTGAAGTTAGTTTCAGAAAAACTGAATTTAGGATAAAATATAAAGGTGATGAGAGCATAGAACAGATCTAAGCACAGGGGTGAAAACCACAAATTGCCTAAATAAAACAGAAGTCACTGGGAACACTCAGCAGGTCAGAATTTCCTCTCTCCATAGATGCTGCTGAGTGTTCCCAGCCACTTCTGATTTAAAAATAAAAAGGTCCTTAGCTTTCCATTGGTCAGTTCTCCTAATCGCAAATCTCATTACTATCAGATGTATATCAAAATGTCATATAATATATTCTATACATTTCTATTATGTATACATCAAAATATATTTATATCAATGTCCAATTTTAAGTACACAGTTATATTCGCAGTGTTTTTGCAAATATCTAAATTGTAATTAAAGTTAGTACAAGACATTATCAATACATTTATCATTATTCATTTGGATAATTTCAAGTGTTCAAAGGAACCACTAGAGGGCTCTTGGGCACTATAAGCAGCTCCTGGAGTGAACTGCTTTGGAATGTTTTTAAATGATAAGTTTTGCATTTGATATAAAGACTAATCACTTCAAAACATCTCAAAGTGTTTCACAGAAATTCTGCCAAAGTGTAGAGACTCATCCTTCTTTCTTTCCCCCCCCCACCTCCCACCTCGTTCGGCATTCAGCCCCATCTTTATAAAATGCTTTGAGACATTCCCTTTTGTGAGCAATTTGATGTCTTGTCTAAAGGATGGCTTCTCATTTCTCCCAATACTCGTCTGGAGTATCGACCTGGAATTAAAGCATCTTTGGGTCAGAAGGTTATTGGTTCAAGTCTCAAAATGGGCCTTAGTTCACAATCTAGGTGGGTATTCTCATTCTCCAGATAGGGGGATAAAGTGTTGTACTGCTGAGTGCTGTCCTTCAGAAGGTGCTAATCAAAAGTCCAACCTGTCTGTTCAAGTGAATGTTAAAGATTTATCCTCCAGATAAATTGATCATTTACTTCGTCATTTGTGGGTCTGCTGCAACAAATTATTACACTTAACAGCCATCTTGTGTGAAGAGTTTTGTGGTGCAATAGGATATTAAATGCAATGATTATTAAATCCATAAAATGACTGGATTTCATAAGTTTCATACTTGTGTTCCTGATGTGGACAGATTTATTTATATCAGGCATGCCATGTTACAGTAGAATTTTGAGTTCAACTATAACCCACTACATACATTGTGCCTCCTAAAAATGTAAATATTTAATATGGATATATTCAAGTGCGATCAGTCATACCTTATTCATTTCAGGTGGAATCCTGTGAAATGACAATGATTGTGCATCTATAAATTGTATTTCTAATGTGAAGATGTAAATATCTCAACAGTCTACACAGTCTACAGACGAGTATAACATTGAGCCAAATTGGAACTAATAATTTATTCAATGCGATTCAGTTATTGGATTGGTAGGTCTGACGGTATAGCAAACCCCATTCCTACATTCACTTATTTGACTTCCGCACGTAGGGCACACCACCTGTTTAAAAGACCAGCAACAATTTTCACTCGTGCACAACTAGTTAAGAGTATATTAGTATTTATTTAATGACTTCAAAAAATATACGATTTTAAACAGCATACATAGGAGCAGGTACATAACATTAAAAATCTGAATTTGAGCATCTTTAAAAGTATCATTCCTGCTTAAAGTGGTTTCAGATATTTACACAGCTGTGAAATTGCCAGCACATTCAGCAGCATCGGTTTCTGTGGAATCTTTTTCATTTTGTTTTGACATTTGTTTTCATTCCTCCCTCTATAATCAACAATTGCTCAAGCCGCAGCCAACTGAACTAATCAGATGATGTTTGAGAGAAACCAGTCGATTTTCAACTGTTCATCAATATCCCTGCTCAGAAGATGGCATTAAAGAAAGTCCCTCATTCCCCTCGGTGCCTCCATGAAACCAAACAAACTCGCTGAGATCAGAAGTTCCATACTCGGAGATACAAAACTATTATCTATTGCCCTGTCACTCTGTCCAATGCACCACTGACCTGAAGCCAGATCAATTAAATTAAAATAGATGATTACACGTTTGAACTGTGGCTACTCTATCCTCAAGCCTGCACATTTAAACTGGGGAAAAAATAGTATTTTACTTGAAGCAAAGGAGGAAACTTTTTTTAAAAAAAAATTTGTAGTTTCTTAAAAAAAGCTTGCTTACAAATGTCATGCAGATAAAATAATATTTACAAGTGCATATTTCTCATCCGTATACATTTCAAATAAGTATTGCTAAATCTTTCTTCTGTGCTCCCTATTGCTCTCACACAATTGTTTCCCCACTAACATACCTTACACATACACCCATTATTTGCTCGTATTTTAATAGTGAAATTGAAGCTTCAATTTGTTAATGATTAGAAACTTCAGTACATAGTTTTAAACAGTGATTTCTGTGCTCTCCATTAAACAAAACAATCCTTTGGCTTCCTGCTATTCCTTCACCCAGCGACATTTTAAATTGAGGAATGAAGTGCAGTCTCTGATGAATAGGTTTGGCTTCATAAACCAAAACAGCTTTTTTTCCCCCCCCTTCCCCACCTTCAGGTAATCTTCAATCCATTGACAGTAGATGTTAGAAATAATGCAGAGACCAAGGTTGCGGTTCTATTTACAGTGCATGCATGGGTGTTCAACTGAACAGTGGCAAGGGCAGATATTTAAAACTAATCCTATTTAAGAATTTGTGTTTCCGTTAGTCAATGTAGAATTTCAGTTTCACATTAGTTCACTAACAGACATAGTTAACTTTCCTATTCATTCTCAGTGAAACATTTATTCCTAGATCAGATTCAGTGATCAATTTTGTATTCTGAGAGATTTATTGAACTGCTCAACAAGCTACATACGGAGATGGGTCTTTACATCATAGCTCACAGGCTCCATCAATACGACATTTGCAAGTCACCAAATGTGAGGGCTGCAGTTAGTCATTGATGTTCCCACAAAATCTATTACGGCATCACAGCTCAAAAGATCAGCTCTGAGAAGAAATCCATTGCTGATCAAAGTTCTCCATTGCTGGTAGTCCCTGCACAGGAAGAATCCAAATGCAAAGCACCTGCAACAGTAAACCTGTACACAATAAAAGTAAGCCAATACCAACCACATTGAGAAAGATTACAAGCTTCAGGTCTCAGCTAATACTATCCAGTTAAACAGATTAAGCATCTTTTCTTATGGTTGCTAATAATGAAATAAAACCACAAATAGATGTCACTTAAGTCGAGAGGAAGGAGCAAGAATGAATGTATTCTGGCCCAAGTATTACAGCAGTTTTTTAAAATTGTTACTTTAGGCTACTAATATGACCCAACATTCCTGCTCCAAATCCAACTTACGATGCAGGCAAAGGTATCCCAAGATGAGCTTTCCTCTCTATGAGCAGCTCTGGTCTCAAACCACCCAGAAAATTGGCAGGTTACAGTATTGTGTGGATAATCTTGAAACTAGAAACCTCAATTTTACTCTGTGGCAAGACATGTGCTGCTGCATTAATCCTAAAGTTCTATGAGGCTTTTTATTATAATCAATACTGTATTAAAAAGTTCAGCTGAAAAAACATTTACATTTAGGAACCGTACACATATTAAATCTCTTTTTCAAATATTATCAAAAATTAACATTTTAAAATGTTTAGTCACAGCATGACTAATTTGAATATTGATACAATATTAACATTTTTTTGAAATTACCCACATAATTTTAAGTCTTTTGTAGTTTGCCTGTTAAGACATTGAAAATAATTATTGGTCTTTGGATTAAGTCTATTTAAAGTACAAAAGCAGTTTCCGTATAAGCAATTTCTTACTGATAGTGGAAGTCTGCATTATTGTCTAACTGTTCTCCAATATGTCCCATGTTAAACTGTATATTAAAACTACAAGAGACTCAAATTCTTAAAGTGGTGTAAAATTTAGTGCAGTGTTTCTAGGAGGCATATTCTGCAAAAAGCACAGCCCTGAGCTGTTAATTCTAATAGTATAAAATAGGGAGATAATGGGACTACTACAAACCTCTACACTTAACCTGACCTAGTTTGGTTGCACTACCAGCAGGATTATAATTTAAGGGATTGTGTATTGAACCAAAATTGGTTAGGCAACTAAAATTAATGCATTAGTTTGATTAAAAATCAAAATTCCATCGTCCCAAGAAAAAGGTCACTTAGGGCAGGATTTAGTCGTCCAATTGATACGATTTAGTTTCATGCTTTTACAAGTGTATACACAAGTGCTTGTGGAATGCAAACATTAGCACTACTGAAATGCTGCCTTCAGTTCTTTAAAGGCTGCTCTCCGCTGCTTCCGATCTTCCTCCATGCGTTTGCGTTCCTCCTGCTCCTCTTTGATCTCAGCCTCAAACTTACTGCCGGTGGTCAGAGCCTGCACCTGGGAACAAACAGTGAATTCAACACTTTGCTCCAGCAAATCATTAGCAGCCACAGAGAAGATACCCAAAGCAGGACTAGCTAAACAAGTTTACAAACGTTGCAAAGCTTATTGATGTTTTGCTCTGAATGTACAGTGCTATATCATTCACAGCATCTGTATTACAATCAGAATTCCAATTCAATAAATGTATATGTCCCTGTTGAGGAGCACTTTCATCAGATAGTGGTCAAATACTGTTGGAAGAAAGACAGAGGGGAAATGATTGGTGTGTAATTAAAATAATCTTGACTGCAAATAAAAGGAAGTTTAAAAAATTCACAGCTTTATATTTCATTTATGTTAGAAGTTTCAATTTAATCCTCTTTCGAGTGATAAAGATGTTCGTTGGTCACTGTGAATGAGTTCTCACGGGTTTGTATAGTTCACTTGAGATAAACATGACATTCTACAATTACTTACTAAGCATCACTCTTAACACAAGTCGCATAAACAAAGTACTACTAAATCATTATTATTATTACTACTAAATCGGTTAATATTTATCTATAATTCTCTTGTGGATTAAAGGCTCGGGCAGAAGTGTTCTAAATTGAAGTGGTCAAAATCTGTGCAATTCCTTTTATTAATCTTAACATCCATGTAATAAATTTAAAAAATGGGTGTTGCGGGGGAAGGAGGGGCAGAGAAGAAAGCGTAAAATGAACCCAAAGACAGTATGAATTTAATTGAAAGTTTAAAAATATTTTACACAGAACACTGACCAAAAACATTGATCAGAAGCATTCCAAGTTCAAAAAAAGTGCAGGTTCAGTAGCCTAAGAATTAATTCACTATTCCTGCTACAAATAGTCCTATTGTACAGGCTCTGTTCTTTAGTGGGATTAGTTTCAACAAGAACTTGCGTTTATGTAGGGTCCCGGAGCGTTCAGTTCCACCTCAGACTTAGTTAGGCTTACCTTTGCCTCAAAGAAATCCTTTGCCCCTCGGACCCCCTCTGACGAGACATCAATCTCTGAAAGGCGGGCGAGTGCCATCAACCCACTGTCTTCCTCCAACTCCCCAGCTGCAGCTTTGTGAAAAATGAGAAGGAACTACAAAGGAAAGAGGTACTGTGAGCAACCCATTCAATCTCTAATCTACTGCACACATCTAGAGTGTACATCTGCCAATTACAAATCCTTCGTTTAATCTAGGGTACATTTATAAGTTCATAGGAGATGTAATGAGATCAAAGTATTGCTTTGAAATAAAACAGAATTACAAGTCTCTCCCTTGACTTGACATTCTTCATAAAGAGCAAACACTTTTGTAGGTGAATTTAGTCTCTGAAGCATGAAATGTCAGTCTGATTTAGAATAACTAGCAAATGCACATCAGCATGTCAGTGAAAGGCGTGCCTTCAGAAAACTTAATGTAATCAGTCCACAGATGATGCTATAATAGCCCCAAAATAATCTGATGTGCAGTGCAACCACTATTGTGAAGAGAGGAAACCCAGCTGGTGTGCCAAGATTTTGGTGGCAGTACAGCCATAAGCGAAAAAATTAGATGACTCAGTTTAAGACCGAGTGCACAGTGCTGTCTTTGGAATAAACAATCATGTCTGGGCTAATTGTTTTTGTCAGTTTAAATAAATACTTGAAATTTATTCAAGTTACATTTTTTGGAACAAAGGCTATAAAAAGATTTTCTAAAATAAGTCTACCCACTTTTGGGAAAGTAACCATCTTTATGGGCAGCAATTTATGTAATCTACATACTGTGCTTCATAGATTTTTCTCACAGTCATTCACTTAGCTCTCAAATTTGACTGGGCATGTTAGACCCCACATACAGAGAAGCTTCTGTTTTTTTAAAAAAAATTAGTAGTCACCGAGCCTGTCAATCCCTACAAATTTTAGGTTTAGGTTTGAGCTCATTATCAAGAGCCAACTCAAACTGTACTGAGCCAAATAAATTTACAACACTGAATTGTAGATCAATTTTGACAATTCAAAAAGCTAATTTCTCAAAATCACTGTATAACTCGGGAATTTTATCAACTTCCTGGTGAAAATTAACAGCTGACGGGTAATGAACCAGACGAACAAGTCTGGCTTCAACGTAGATTGAGTAATTGGTCATGAATTTACAATTGGCTAAACGGGTTCTCCTTGGAGCTGAACTGGTTCCAAGGTGACGTGCCTGCCAACGGAATGTCGGAATCGGATAAAGAGTTGAGGGCTGGCCCATACCTGGCAATAAGCCTTTATGCTAAACATTTCAGTGAAGCTTAAAAAGGGCTCATTCAATTCATGGTGTGAAAGAACTTGGCCATTGTCTTTGAGACAATTCACCATCGAGCATCTCAAGGCTTTAGCAGAACAACGGTGGAGTGTGAGAAATTTTTGAAAATATTGTTTACCACATTTCTCATAGATGTACGTACTGTGGCCTTACTGTTGGATGCATGTGAATTTTTACATTCACAGCTTTGGCAGAAGCCATTCTCTAGACTGACACATTTACATCCACTTATCACGTTTCTCCTTCCACCTCAATGGAAAATGCTCCAGCTGCAAGGCTAGACTACTGCAAACTCATCCAAATTAACATCTTAAACAACAAGGCACCCAGAGTTGCAGTTTCCAACAAACAAAAAAACATAATCCATCACAGGAAATAAGTGATTTGTGGCCTATTGTCCTGCATCTGCAAAAGTGATGTCACCTTTTTTTCAAATAAAGGAATATGTTGCATCTGTGGGAGTATACATCTGGACATTGTTTCTAGCTGTTGGACCAAGACATGGAACAAGAGGACTGCTAATCTTGTGAGCTTGCACTGAAACCTGAATAAGTCTTCCTTTTATTGTTACACTGAATAACCAATCTCTTCCCTTTCTCGTTTATAACCGGGATGATTGATGGCAACAGGGCGACATCAGTAGTTGGCAATATTTTGTTGGGATTTACATAGAATCTCAATTAAGCACATCACAGTAGAGCTCAATTATTTTCTGCTTCAATGCCATCAGGTTTCAAGAGATTTTGCTCTAATGAAAACCAGGATCCCATCTCATAATACTGACAGGCATTGTTCTGCAGTAAAATTGACATCATTTGTACTTTAGAAATAGTACCCACAAAAGAGGCAATACTACACAATCTGCATAGCAGGGTTACTCTTGAATTAAGTGTCACACATGAGCTGGTTTTGAGTAAAGACTAGTTGCTATTGTTGAACTGGTTTGTAATTTAACCAGTGTTTACAGGTACTAAATAGTTCTAGGCAGCTCAGTGGACCCAGATAGTTTTTCTATCCATTTGTGAGGGATTGTTTTTAAAACAATGAAAGTGATCTGTTATTCTGTTATTCCAAGGTGACTAAATATGTGAAGCACAGAAGACAAGCCCACGCACCAGTCAAGTCTTGATGAAAACCATTAACTTCATTTGACTTGATTGAAAACTACTGGTGATGGGGTGTTTGCTCATCAGCTTTTTTAAAAAACTGCGTGACCGAGGGATAATATACAGCTGTTTTAAGTGAATCATTTGCAGCAATGCAAACAGCTCCAGCTGTCACACATGTAGTTTTCTTCAAATGACTAAGATGCTTCAATCCTTCACTTGTGCATCTGCCAGTTCCCATATACAGTGAACATCAGTCTAGAAGGATCAAGGATAAACCTCAAGCTAACCAAGATGCATTTTACTTAAATATAAACATGCTACACTGCTGCAGTTCACATCATTGATCAACTATTGCCATACTTTACCTAATTTGTCCACCTAAACATGACTTGATGAGAGCGTACACCTGTTTGAATTATTGGTGAATGGCAATGATACGTCTGTGAAGACACAACATTCGCTGAATTGTTTTTTCCTTTTGTCACATTTCATTCCCTTGCAAGAAGGAAAAAGCATTTTGGCAAGTTATTTATGCAATTGACAATCAAATGAAGTCCTATTGTGTTGCGTGTGGCTCCAGATGCCATCCTGGGCAAATATTAGCAAGAATCTAAAAGGTGGAGGGGAAGCAGATTAATCCGTAATAAAGTTGCTATCACATGGTTCCATTGCTCCTCATAAACAAAGTTCCACTTCTAGCCAAGTTTTTAAATTAACTTTTTTTAAAACAAATTGTCACAGAAACTGTTTTTTTTAAAAAAACACCAATTCTGTGCAGTTCCAAATGGCTTGTGGTTTTGCGTTCATGCCAAATGAGCAGCCAGTTTTGTGCTGTGGGGTTAGTAGGTCTACTGGGAACTGAATTAAGATTGTCAAAATGTAACAGCTTTAAAAGCCTTCAAAAGAGATACTCACATCTCCACAGTCAGGGCTACACTTGAACCTGGGTATGTTCCAGCAATGAAGTGAAAGACTGCATTGACACTCTCCTGCTCAACTCCAGACATATCAAAGCATTTGTTTCACAGCGCTGTGGTCCAACGTGAGAGAGGCCAACAATCTAACCAAATAACCATGACTCCCCAAGCTGAGGCCATTCCCCCCCCCATGGGAGCGGGCATTATCTCAAACAACCTAAGAGAATCTATCCATTTATATGCAACAAAATAGCTTCCAATTGGATCAGCTGAATCACAGAAACACGTCAGCATAAAACAGCAAATTAACTCGACTGGAGGACTGTTGCAGAGTGAATGGCACAGAAAAAATTGAGATTGGAGCAGGACACCACATGTTACGGAAATCTGAAGCACTTAGGGGACATTGTCAAACTAATGAGGCCCTGTACCAAAAATTGTGATTTGTTTCTCCTCCTCCCAGGTTACGATTTGGTAGCGCTGTTTGTATTAGTTTCAGGTTTCTAAACACTGCATCGGATCAATCACATTGACTGGATAAATTATGGTCCATTTCTGTGTGTGGTCCTTATTGCACTCGAGGTTCAGGTACAGGAGGAAGTAAAATAAGTGCTATTTAAACTGAGATATGGGCATTATCCAGAGTTTGTTTGTAGTCAGCATCTTTCATCATTCTTAGCCTGCAGCTACATTTCTTTCTCCCACCACCTCCCTACCCCATAGTAGACATTTTTAGAAAAGCTTTTGGCAAGGACAAACCGTTTTTCTGCATTAGAAATGCTGGAAGCATTATAAAGGTCACAAATTGAGATAAAGCTCAAGGACTTTGTAACATAGGAACTAGCATTCTCCTGGATATTATACTTTACAACCAACTTCATCTAACTGCCATTTACTCAGCACAGAAAATCTCCTGGATTTTCAGGAAAGCAGCAAGAAAACACAGGAGCCATCAATGATCCTCTCTAGATTATTGACCTGCACTAACATACCTTTTGTACAACTTTAGAATGTAGTGGGGAAAGAAAGGATAGTGTACAAGAATGTACTACGTTATTCTGATTTCTGCATTACTTCAACTCCATTTAGGATTAGGATGTTTTTCCTTACCAACTTATTGTATTACTAAGAATCAAGTTCTACAATTACAAAATCAATGGAATGACAACTCTTTCCAGACTTTACATATTTAATATTTCAGGGGGAAGAGAATCTCTGAATGGAGCCCATTTTCTGGGGGGAAGGGAGGGAGTTCCTGAAATGGAGACTTCTTGACCTCCAAAGTCATCCATCTTCACTTCAATTGAAACCTTGCCCTCTTCACTCCAAACCCCTCAAACCTACCTTTCAATCCAGATCTTCCTAATCTAATTCTACTCAGAAATCTCACGAACCTGTCAATGTCATTTTGAATGTAGAATACTCAAAAGTGCACATATGATTCCAATTGCAACCACTTCATGTAGTTTACAGAATAAGATTGCCAACTGAAAATATTTAACTATTGACCCTGTTTAGGCTAACTGGCTGAAGAGGTTTTCTGGTGTAAACCTATTGCAGTACTTGAACAAGAGTCTGTCTAATCACAAGATTTGTTTTTCATACAGAACCACTTTGGTAATCTCACAAATGAAGCCAAGAAATGCTGGTTCAAGCTCCACAAAGTCACAATAATGTCTGGTTCTATTCTGGGACACAGCAATTATGCCACACAAGACTCAGATACTTATGGTTCAAGTGTTGGTTGATTTTTTTTAAGCTCAACAACCAAATAGGAATGTGAGCAATTCTAAAATAACGTCAAGAGATTTTTCTAGCAAGATAGGAAGTTCAGGTCATTTGATCCTAACTGCATTATGTGTGATTCACTACAATACTGAACAGTGTGTACTCAAACCAGGGATTCATAAATAGGGGATAGCATTTCACCGATCAGAACCTGCAACAATTGATCAAGCAATGTCTAATAGAACATTTCATACTTTGATTTTAGATGGGTACTTTACAGTATATTTGATTGCACAGACTATCACTTGAAAAACAATTTCCCTTAGGAATCTGGCACACAACAAGGTTTGTAAAGATCTGGTTAAGCCACATGGATCATTTAGTAAACCCCTTCAACACCAACCACTCCTCATCCCAGCATTCGTACAATTCTCAACTTGCATAACATGTTAAGAAGACCAATTTGTTTCCCACAAAAGAAGGCCAATTTAATAGGAACTCAATGCCTTGCTTAGAAAAGGATTTAAATAGACAATTTACAAATTCTCAATCTGAGCATATAGTATTGCTATAAACAACTCAAAAGCAGCAGCAGAATGAATACCAGAAAGAATTTATATTCTTAATCCTTACCTCTCTGAAATTCAGCTTTCCATCAAAGTCCTCATCCACTTCTTTTATCATGTTTTTTAGGCCAAGGTGAGTCTGAGGCGCTCCAAGTTTTTCCATCATCAATTTTAGTTCCATCAAGTCAATGAAATTATCCCTTCCAGAGTCAAATCTGCAAAATATTACAAGTCAAGAGATTTATACGAGAACACAAATTAGGTAAGCATAAGCACAAGGTCCTGTGGAAACCTATGCACCAGTACATGATTGGGTGGGGGAAGAGAATAATACTTGCATATAGCTCCTTATCACATCATTGAGATGTCTCAAAGCAATTCACAGAACATATTGTAAAGTGGATTGACTGTATTTTGTGGACGAAACAATAATAATAATAATAATAATAATAATAATAATAATAATCCTTGCATTTGATATAGCGCTTTTCACGTCGGGAGGACGTCCCAAAGCGCTTCACAGAATACACTGTAAAGTGAATTGACTGTATATTTGTGGGCGAACGCGGCAGCCAATTGCGCACAGCAATGTCCCACAAACAGTCGTAGATTGAAAATGACCAATTTATTATTGTTTTGTTTTTAGAGGGATTATTAGGAAAGGAAAAGGAAGGGGATTTAAAAAGGTATTTAAAGTGAAGTGGAAAAGGAAGGTTTGGAAGTGTGAATTATATAGATCACTTTTCCTCAGTGCTAAGCCCACAATTTCCTGTTCAAGTTAGGAATTTGAACAACTTCTTTTCAATTACTTTTAGTTATAGATATATATCGATGACGGGTAGGCGGGGTGGGGGGAGAGAGAAGCAGGGATGTCGAGGGATATGGAGAAGAGGTTAAAAAAGGAATTTAAACAATCTCCCATCGGCTAATACATTGGCACAACAGGCTCAATCACTAACCCCTGACCCCTTTCCTAAAGGATGGCTGATTCACCTATTTCAGTTCAGAGCTGTGAACATCCTTCCTGTGAAGCTCAAAGATGGCAGTAACACCACACATTTTAAGTGACTTCCGAAATCAGTGAAGGCTAATAAATATTGCTAACTGAAACTATTCAATATTCACCCACAAGCATTGTACAAGTTTTGAAAATGTCAAATTCCTGAACAGAAAGGGTGATGGCTCATGTTAATGTTCTCACATTTAATGACTGCACCGTACCATATGAGCTGTAAATTAGGGATCAATGGCACAGACGTGATCAAAAAAGGTGCTAAAATATCAGATATTGGAGAGACAACATTATTCAGTTATCCTGTGCTTCTAGCGAGTTAAAATGCTGCAGTCGTTAGAACACAGCCAATTCCAGAGATAATTTCATTGTGCAAGTTATTGCAATCAACTCCCTTCAGGGCCATTGAAATTTGAACAAGTACATTACACAGAATTATTGTCTACTTTATTTCATCTACTATCCGTCTATGAACAGAATTGCTGTGCCTTGCAATGCCAAGGGTATGATCTCACTAAGTGAGTCGTCTGCCTGAACCACATCACCTGCAGTAGTGGCCAATGTTGTGCTGCATATTTCAATGTTGATGCATATGCTCTCATTTTAAAGATGCAGTACAATTATATTGGGTATTTTCTGGATTTAGAGGCCCAAGTTACGACTAAGTGCAAAAAAGGGCAACTAGCATTGTTGTCAGACTTCCACCGATGTCACTTTTTGTATGATGTAAGAAACACTGCTGACATAACTTTATTTATGTCCTGCAGATGCATATATAATAATCCTTGCATTTGATATAGCACCTGAACACGTCATCGAGACATGCCTCACTGAACATACTGTAAAGAGAATTGACTATATATTTTGTGGGCGAAACAGGGCAGCCAATTGCACACAGCAGTGTCCCACAAACAGTCGTGGATTGAATGACCAAATTATTTTTATTTATTTTGAAGGAATTATATTACCCCCGGAAAAACAATCTGCCAATCGACTAACAACCAGGTTCCTACTTCTACTAGATAAACAGAGGCGTGTGGAGCAAGGAAACTTGCCCAAAGTTTTGCCCTGCCAGGAATACATGCAGCATACAGAAAGTTATCCATCAATGTTTTTTTTTTGAAGTGCAGGAAGCCAGGTGGATTTCTGGTTAGTACAGATCCACAGTAGATCTGTCCTCTAAGCAAAGCCACAGTCTTTAATAGGGCTATAATTTGTAGAGGTTAACCTTGGAATTTATTCTCCCATTGTAGTGACCTCTCACTGCCCCAGGTCTGGCCTTTGTAACTTGTCAGAAGGTCAGCAGCTGAAACTTCAACACATGTTGTGCATATATCAATGCAACCACAAGCAAACTACAGATGAATGTGGAAAATGGATAAGATTTGTGTTCAGATCAGAAGAATACAATTGTGTCATTCTAATGCTTTAAAAGTCAAGGAAACTGAACAGAACAGCAAAAAAAAACCTTTCAAGAAACAGGAAATGATTAGTCAGTCATTTGCCCTTTGAGGCATAAATGTTAAAAATAAAGAAGGCAGCAGAGGACTGACAAAATGTCAAAACAGGCAAAAGTTACATGTAACAATTCTGAGTGAAATCCTATACAAAGGATAAAGGACATCATTAATAATTGAGCACAACATATCAAGTATCAGGCTATTTCAGTAGCATAGTAAAGCTTATTGCTGAAACATTAATAAATACTGCTGGAACAAATTCAATATCCATAAAGAAAACAAATCTACATTCAAATTTTAAGGTTAAAAACCCCAAAACCTTCCTTCTAATTTTGTTCCCCAATTAAGAGCAATTAGAGCTTGAATGGTGACGAGTGAGAGATCAGATGAATTTAAATTTTACTCTCCCAAGGCAATAGTCTCTATTTAAGCCACCTTCCGAATCATATGGGAGCGGTAACCTTCCAAGGCACAAGACAGATATGGGTTCCTGCATCACCCCATTTGTCTTTCACTGTATCAGTTACTTCTGCTAATGTTAGGAATACATTTGTTCACTACAAATGTCACTCTTCATTTTCAAGGAGATGTGCCAATTCTATTCAGATTCAACTCCTCTGTGGCTCTCATAACAAACAGATTTTAATCTGTTTACATTCTGTCCCACTGTTTTTCTCATAACATTTAACAGTTGGCAATGGTTTAACCTTGGAAACTGAACATACTGGAATTATTTTAGGTCTTACGAGAATTCATTGAACACACTTAACAGACCATATTCAGAAAGCAGAATGTTTGGTGAGACTTTAGCCTGGAGTAGTAGGATTTAACGCTCTACACTTAAACCACCAGCACATAACAATCCATTCAAGTATTAACAGCAATTCTAAATACATCACTGAAATGATGGGGTTAATGGATTCTTGGTTCTGTTAAGCAGAAGTGTAAAAGTAAAGATTTATTCACAGGTTCAGCAAAGGCTTAAATGTTGCACACAAGCATTCTTCATTCATACACAAAAGGTTCTCACTCCAGTCTTGATATTTATAAATAGATTCTTTCATGTGCTTGTGACAGAGAGGCCTAGTGAGGGAAACAACTGGCTACTCTGAAAGAACGACCTGCATCTAAAGTAATGCACACAACTGCACTGGTTATTTCTGCCTCCCATTCCCACATACTGTCGTCAGCCTTTTAGCCCTAATCTCCAAGAGGAATTCAGTTAGAACAATGCAGCTGCTTTATCCACTGTTAGCAGAAAGTGGAAGCAAATGCAAACAAGTTTTATCCACAGAAGCCTTCAACTATCACATTCCCCCCCACACCCCCCGTCAATATGCCAAGACCCGTTGCTTTCATAGATAGTAGAGTATCTAAAAAAACATTTTTTTGCCTTTGGCTTTTATATTCTTACCTCCTTATTTCCCTTTAACGATACAATCGACAAACCAATGACATGAGAAAATTCAGTGAGTAAGCCGTGAGTAAGAACTTACTTCATTGATTCGGACCACCACCCAAATATAATTTTAGTTCACAAATTGAATCCATGCAGACATGGGTTCTTTAGACTGAAAAATGCAATTACATTACTACAAAATAGAATCGCATCTCCTCAAAGTGAGGAGGTTAAACATTTCAAGGTTTAACGTTAAAATTCACATCACTGTTAGGACTGCATCACCTTCAACAACAACAACAACAAGCACTTATATAGCACCCTCCACGCAGGGTAAGGTTTCAATAACAACAGTGGTCGACAAATTTTGGATTTTTATAGAAATTAAGAGTCAAATTAAAAATATTCATATTAGTTTTATCTAGCTGCAGTCAGAGTCTACAAAGTAATTATTACCTTTCCATAATTTAAAATATGGGCAGATGAATCAACTCCCTTTCAGGATAATATAACTTGGGTCAAAAAAATTGCAGAGCACTCAAATAGTATTTCTATACCAAAATAAGATATTACAATTTCAGTGGTCCCAGAATTATTTCAAGGTGGTCATCAGGCATTTTGTATTTTGTTATTACCATAACAAAAATGCCTGCCAACAACACTGCTCCATATTTTCTTCTTTGTTGGCACATTGACATCACATCTGCTGCAACAGCTTTTTATTGGGTGGGGAACCTGGATAAATACAGCCACATTATGAGTTTGCCACAGCACAAATCACAACAGAGCAGTACAGAAGGCTTTGAGTTGGCTCTTGCGCAAACTACATCTGCATGAAGACACCCGCTGCTCAATTTTTTTTAATCAGTGGAAGAATTCATATTGTAATTAGTCAACTGAAACATCAAGCAAACACTACCCAGGAGTATTCACTACCATAAGACACATCTGTACAACAGATATAGCAGCTAACAGTTACACAGTCAACACTGATGTCCAGTCTTCTGATCATCACTGCTCATCACTAATGCAAGAGGAAGTAGGAAATTCACCGCAGCATTCATCAGTAACCATGTGCCAAGTGACTCAAGTTTTTAATAGTGGCAAAAAAAAACACCCAACTGCTAAAGAGATGACATGAGGGATTAGTCATTAGTCACATTCATTTCTTGCATTGCAGAGTGAAGTCTCATTCAAATCTACAATTATTTTCTGGAAAAAAAGTTCCAGTGAACATCCATGTCCTTTAACCAATTTTTGCTGATTAGACTGTTGAGATCCTATAGGCTGTTCTTTGTCTAATAGAAATCTCCTCGGTTGATTCAAGGTTATCAAAATATTTGG